TGGCTCTAGGAACTACTCCTGGCGGTGCCCAGGGGACCACATGGGAAGCCAGGGACTGAACTCTGGTTGGCCTTGTGCAAGGCAAACGCCCTACCCACTGCTCTATCGCTCTGGCACCAAATGTTAGAATATTTGAAAAAATATTCAAATTGCTAAAATTAAAACAAATCTCTAACAGAAGATTAAAAAATTCCTATAAGTGTATATAGTGTATTGTTTTGTTAAATATGCATAAACCTCTAGAAAAATAACTGCGACACCATTTAGTCTTTGACATAATGTGTCAATTTCGCTATTAATCACTTCTGAAAGTTCAAGGGTAATTGAAGTTAAGTGTTAAAATACACTCGGTACTTAATTTGAGAACCAAGTTTGAAAAATATAAAAATTTGTTTGAGGATTTTCTTCCCCACTGGATGTGTTTTAACTAAACATCTGTAAGTGCAGTAGTAATCAGGGAAATCATCTAACCGTCTTTCATTTTTAAAAGTAGAAACCTATTAAGATATACTTCACATACTATAAAATATACTCCTGTGAAGTATACAGTTAGCTTTCAGTATACTCAAATTTTTGTGAGAATATTGTGTGTTCACCATTACTTTTATATAATTTGAGTGTTTTCTGTAACACTGAAATAAATTATATATATCCATTAGCAATCATAACCTATTCTCCCTTTCCCACACCCCTGACAAACCCAGTCTACATTATGTGTTTGCTCATTCCATTTTAATAAGTGGAATCATGCAGTGTATGTGGCTTATTTTTAAGTACCATAATATTTCAAGCTACCGAGAGTATCTCGCCCGCACGGCAGAGCCTGGCAAGCTCCCCGTGATGTATTCTATATGCCAGACACAGTAACAACAAAGTCTCCAATGGAGACGTTACTGGGCCCGCTCGAGCAAATCGATGATCAACGGGAGGGCCTTTACTTTACTTTACTTTTATAATATTTCAAAATTTATCTATATCATGGACCGGCACTTGATTCTTTATAGTGATTGAGTAATATTCCACTAATACACTGTATTTTGTTTCATTTTTCATTTGCTGATAGAACATTTATGAGTTTTTCTACCTATTGACTGTTAGGAACATTCACTTACAGTTTTGTTTTTTTTTTTTAAGACATGTTTTTAGTTCTTTGGAGATTTAGGAGTGGAACTGCTGGATTATAGGGTAGCTCTGTGTTTAATATTAAACAGAAATGTGTGAGGGTTTATGTGTCTACATTTTTATTTTGATAAGTTATAAATCTTTTAAATTTTAGCTGTGTTTTCAGAACTAAAAAGTGAAAATATTAAAGCATGTTGTATTTATTCACAAATATTTTATTCCAAGTAAGTATGTATTTACTAGGTTGAGAAAAAAAATTTTAATTATAACAAATCACCAACTATCTGGAGTCAAACACACTCATTGTCTATGGAAAGGCCCAGGGCTGTGATGTGGCTTGTCAGTTGACATACATGATAAACCTGGGGGATGTTGTAGGTTCAGTTCCAGTCCCCTGTGATAAAGCATATATCACAGTAAAGGAAGTAACATAAATTTGTGGTTTTTCAGTGCATGTAGAATTATATTTACCCTTACTATAGTCTCTTTAAATGTACAGTAGCATTTTATCTAAAAAAAGCATTATATGTTTGCCTGTGGTATAGACATGAAGTGAACATATATCGTTGAAAAATGGCATGAGACTTTTTTTTTTCCCCTTTTTCTTTTTGGGTCATACCTGGAGATGAACAGGGGTCACTCCTGGCTCTGCACTTAGAAATTACCCCTGGCGGTGCTCAGGGGACCATATGGGATGCTGGGAATCGAACCCGGGTCAGCCATGTGCAAGGCAAACACTGTACCTGCTGTGCTATCGCTCCAGCCCCAGCATGGACTTCTTAAGATTTCTTAATGTAGGCTTGCCACAGATTTTCAGTTTGTGAAAGAATGAATTATCTACAAAGTGCAGTAAAGATAGGACTGTACAACAATAACATCAAGTCATAACTGGGACCAAACACATTTTTTAGTTTTCCCCAAATGGCACAAAATTATCTGGGATTTAGTATTTGAGACTTTTTTTAAAAATATGCCAGAAACTCCTTTCATTTTCTAGAGAAAAGCATGTAGATTTTGTATTTGGTTGAATAGTCTTTACTCCGATAACAGTTTTTCTTTTTTTTTTTTTGAGGTGTCTCAGGGTCGGATAGGATTGGGCTGCATATACATATAGTTGTGTTCATTTCAGGGCTTAGTCCAGGCCCTCAGGTTTTACTCCAAACTCCGCTCAGGAGTTGCTTCTGCTGCTATTTAGTGGGCCATATGCAGCCAGGGATCTATCCAGGTCAGCTGAGTGCAAGGTGCACTTCAGCCCTTATACTTTCCGTCTCTCCCGTTTCAAGTTTTTCGTCCTTTTAACCATAGTCAGGGATAAGAGTTTTGTTTTTCTTTCCTCTAAACTATCTTTGTTTAACTACTTGTGTAGTATTTGCTTTTAAGATGTTAATCGAGTTTGTTATTAAGTATTAGGATCTTTTTCTGGCTTTGATTATTTTGAGTAAATTCATTGTTCCCCAGTTCCACTGAAAACCAAAATTCAAGATCAGAATTTTTTGTATGTAAGAGGAAGACAAGGAGAAAAAGGACTATTCCTGTTAAGCAGAGATTTGTTCACTGCATCTTGATTTAGCATCTCAGTATTCTGAAAACAGATACTGTTTCCTTATACCTAAAGAGATTAAGTTTCTCACTTACACAGTTTGCCTGGACAGTTTGAGGGAAAAAAGACCTTTTTTTAAGATTTCTTCCAAAGATAAGTTTATTGGCATCTAGAAATTTATGAGGATAGGCTAAAAGAATTTATTATTAAGCAATGAAATAGAAAAATTATGCTAGAATAGATTTATAGAAACGTATGTTTCCATATGGGCAAATGGAGCTATAAGAAAAAATAAGTGAAGCTTGTACAGGGTAGAGGTTATCTCCAGTGTTTTGAAAGATTGTCAGAGATGGAAATTCCTCAGCTTCCTTGAGGATTTTAAACTCTTGGCTGTTTGAAGATAGAATTTTCAGATAAAGCAATATTTGTTGATTGCTTTTTGTTGCAGTCATTTTTTTTCTTTTACAAGGAATTTATTCTGTGTACTATGTCTGTAGTTCCCTGCCTTTTAATTTTTTAATCTTCCTAGGGCTGAGGAGACAAAATAAGGGAAATGGTTTATGACTGTTGCTTGTTGATTTTACTCAGTGGGAAGAAGAAATGATGCTCTTGGTTTTTCACATAGCCCTTACAACTAGACTAACAACTAACCTTTAAGCTACTACTATTTTGCTTTGTTTTAGGTTTGTCTTTTTGGATTTTTTGTTTGGGGTTTTCTTTTGCCACGTATGGTGGTGGTTGAAATAGAAATAATAGGAAATTAGAAGAAATGGAGGTAAATACAACCTAAGGACCTCAATGACCTAAGGAATGAAGGTATAATAAGCATAGAAACAAGCTAAAGCAGTCACACAGCAAAAGATGGGGGAAAACTCAACACATTAGACTTGATAACTGTAAGAGCTCTCACAAATACAATATGGACATACATAGAGAAATTTGAAAACTATTTTCGACAGTTATGACAAACTGTACACACATATGCAGTTGTGGAGGTGGGAGAAAGACATTTGTTTTAGTCCCATACCCAGCAGTGCTTGCTTAGGAGGGCAATCTCTTGTTGTTCTGGGACCATGTGCCTGTGCTTTGAATTGAACCAGGGCTCTTGCACGCAGTCTATTGCCTCTGGCCCTTTGAGCTCTGTCTTTCCATCAGTGTTTCTTAAACATCTTGGGATAACCCTTCCTCAGAAAAATACGTAAGCAATACATACATAATAACAGGCATACATACACATACCAGAGCTCAAAATAAAAATTTAGGAGACTCTTACATTCAGATGAGTTTTTGAGACAGCAAAGAAATGCCTGGCAATTAAGAAAATTAACTTTAGTCACCCTGTTTAAGAAATTGAAGATTTGAAAAAAAAATCTGTTGAATATTACAAACATTGCTATGTTGGGACATATTGGTAAAATATATGAAAAGCTCTTGAACTTAAAATGTCAGAATCTTATTTTTAAATTCTCTTTCTAAGGATTGGGCTGGAATGATAGCACAGCGGTAGGGCGTTTGCCTTACAAGCGGCCAACATGGCCGACCCGAGTTTGATTCCTCTGCCTGTCTCGGAGAGCCCGGCAAGCTACCGAGAGTATCTCGCCCGCATGGCAGAGCCTGGCAAGCTACCCGTGAGGTATTCGATATGCCAAAACACAGTAACAACAAGTCTCATGATGGAGACGTTACTGGGCCTGCTCGAGCAAATCAATGAACAACGGGAGGACCGTGACCGTGATTTCCAAGGATTATGTTAAGAAAACAATTTTAGACAAATTTTTATGCAGCAGTGAACATTTTGTACCGAAATGTTTATTATTACTAAAGAAGCAAAAATTCAGTGCAATGTAACATTCTTAATGGTTTACGTTATATTTTAGCCATTGAATATATTGATACTGTAATAATGTTTTCTAAAGTCTATTTGGCTATGTGGGGAAACAATTTAAAATGTACTGTTAAAAGAAAAGGAAAAGCTGCAGTTTACAACAGTTGCTTCTAGGTGATGGGACTATTGGTGATTTTAAAATCTGTTCCTTTTTGTTTTCCTCCTTTCGTTCACTTTTATAGTGAGTTTTAATGAAAGCATCTTGGGAAAATGCAAGTATAATATTTTTGTATATTCATAAAGTATATTAAAATAATCTAAAATAAAAGTATGTAATTTTTATTGTATAATTTTAAGAGCTTTAAAAAAACAGTAAAATGACATGATTTACCATTTTTAAAAATGTGTAAATATGTGTTTTGAAAAGTTTGTTAAAAATTTTTTACCTTAAAACACATGTTAAATTGAGACAGAAGCAATTAATTTTTGAATACCTTTTTCTTCTCCTACTAGAAGTGGAAGACTTGTTTTCTTCACTTAAACATATCCAACATACTTTGGTAGATTCTCAGAGCCAGGAGGATATTTCACTGCTTTTACAACTTGTACAAAATAAAGATTTCCAGAATGCATTTAAGATACACAACGCTGTCACAGTACACATGAACAAGGCCAGTCCTCCATTTCCTCTTATCTCCAATGCACAAGATCTTGCACAAGAGGTACGTATTCTGAACACCTTGTTGACATATACTGGTAATCATTAGAAATAGTATTATTGAAAACCCATCAAGTTTTTTTTTTATAGTATTTCAGTAAACAAGGCAGAAAATGGGCTAGTGGTAAGGGTAAACGTTTCAGAGCTCTACATACCTGTAAAACAGGTTTGGAGTTGCTTTCTATATTAGCACAGAATGGTCCCAAAGGGAGGTATTGTCTTAATTTAGATGCATAAGGTGGACAAAGAGCCTATGTGTAAGAGTAGCTGAGAAGTGGTTTTGCCCAGGTTCTGTGCGAGTGTGACCCAAGGACACATTCCTAGATAGAATATTAGAGTTTAAACATGTTATTCAAAGAATCGTAAAATGTATTTATACTCATCATTGAAGTTAAATATGTAAATAAATTGTTACTAAATTATCCTTATAGTTTTGCTTACTTGATTTTAATGTTTTTTCCTCAAAATTACTTTAAAAGAAAAATGACAAACATTATTGTCATCTTACATTATAAATACAGTGTAATTTTATTGTACAGAGTTGGTAGAAACACATAAAAATTATTGAAATCAGTCCTCCCTGTATCTTTAGAAGGAAGGTTTTCCAGCTGGGTCTTTGGTTTTTCAGAACAATGAGTGGTAAAGAGAATAATGAGATAAACAGGAGAGTTCAGAATTGTTTCTATTAAAGTTGACATAGGCCATAGGGTGAAAAGAAAGGGTAAGAAAGACCTCACTTAATGACATATAGAATACTGCATAAGGAAATGTATTGTAATAAAGGGGGAATGCCAAGATCACTTCTGACGCCAGTATTTAGAGAGGAGAAGGACAGAGGAGGAAAGAAGTCAAAGGAGAAGAAGAGAATGGAAAGTAATGGGTAAACAGGCATCAGGGTTTCAGTTATATTGGTGATACAGATGAGTTTGGGTAGCCATATATCCCAAACACAGACTTAACATCAGTGAAAACATGAAATCTCAGCTGCAGCCACTGAAACTTTCAAGGGTTTCACATTTGCAAGCTTTCAAATGTGCCTGTCAAGTTCACAGATGATGGGGGCTGGGCATTGGGGATAAGGATGGAATATGGGAACACTGGTGGTGGAATTGGTGGTGTTGAAATATTATATTATTATATGCCTAAAATCTCAACTACGAACAATTTTGTAAATCGCAGTTCTAAGTATATGTATATATAATGTATATACATATATGTATATATAATGTATATACATACATATGTGTGTGTGTATATATATATTTTTTAAGGAAAGATTGGAGAGGGCTGGGGTAATCGTACAGTGGGTAGGGTGTTTACCTTGAATGTGGCTGACCTGGGTTTGATCCCCAGCATCCCATATGTTCCCCTGAGCACTGCCAGGAGTAATTCCTGAGTGCAGAGCCAGGAATGTTCATAAACTACATTTATGCACCACTGGGTGTGACCCAAAAAGTAAAAACGAAAAGAAAAGATCAGGGAGGCAGTATACCTTAAAGGTATGAGTTTAAAGAGGCAAAGAACTAGAAAAAAGTTAAAGAGTAAGTGCTTTCAAAGTTCAGAGTGATTTACCTGTGAGAGGTCCTGGTTTTGATCCCCCAGCAAACTCCCTCACTTTCAGATACTTTGGGAGAGAAAGAGATTGTTGAAAGGGACTTTTAAAAATGATCTGGTTTGAGGACTTGGTGGAGAATGCAGAGATTTAAAATGCCTACCTTGTAAGCATATAGTCAGGAGTTCGAATCCTCATATTAGCCCTTATGCCAAGCACAGTCCTGGCCAGCAGCTTTGCTGTCTGCAGTCCTTGATGCTGACTCAAACAAATTCTGGCTGCATCCTAGCCAAATAACAGATATGTGCGAGCACCACAAAGGGGTGTAACCCCTTACCACTATTTTCCCCACCCGCAGCCCTTAACTTGAAGTTAAAGTTGTGGAAATATGAAAAAAGTTGGTCCAGAAAGTTTGGCCAACACAAGCAAGCACATGAGCAAACATCGCAGCATCCCCTAAAGACTCCCATGCAGCCGTAACTTGTATGTCTTAACTAAAGATTGTAATCCTCAGCAAGTGCATGTATAAACATAATAACTAAAAGAGAGCAACCCTTGGTGAATACTATGGCCAATTGTGCATGCATTGCAACCTGATGTGTGACCTCACCTTCCACCTCCCTCCCCCCGCCAGTGAGTATCCCAGGTAAATGTTGAAGTACCACAGCCAGGTATGTTTATGAACCCTGGTCATTGCAACAATATTAACTCTCTCCTGAGGAGGGAAAAGAATGAAAAAAAAATAGCTCCACCTAAAAATAATAACAATTTGAATATTAGTTTCAGAGTTGTTAATATTTTCACATATTACTTGAGAATTAATATGCATTACAAGTGATTCAGTGTGTGGGTAGTAGTGACTTTATGCTGAGACTAGTCTTAGAATGAGTACAAGTGATGAACTTGGTCAGAAGCACAATGTGAATGACTCCTGCTAGAGTTGTACCTGTACATTGTAATGCAGCCTTGACTTAAGGTTCATCACATTTAAGTACATACTAGCCCATCAAAGAAGAATGCAAAATCTGACCAAATTCTGAAGATATTGCAAGGACATGAAGCAAAAACTGGTAAATCTCCCAGGCTAACAAGCATCTCATACAAACATGCTTGTAAGAGATTGAAAGAAATACAAACTTTTTTTGTGGGTGGATAGATTGGTGATTTGCTTATTTAGATTTTTAAAAAATTAATATAAAAAATTTACACCAGGAAATTCAATAAGTGATTGCAAAGCTAGTGAAGAATTTTAAGCAAGACATTGGTTTAAACATGTATTCTATATTAAAAGTATTCTAATAGCATTGTGAAACATTGTAAGGTCAGAATGGGTTCATAACATTGGAGGCTATTGTGATTGTTCAGATGTAAGATGTTCAAGAACAATTGAGTATGACGTGAAGAATTACTGAAATAGAAAATTAATAGGACATATTGTCTCTACATGGGGAGTAAAGGTAAAAGAGTCGTACAAGATGACTTACTTTCTTTTCCTGGTATTGTACTTTGCCAGAAGCTGGCTATGAAGATAACAGTTATAGCTTCATTGAGTTCAGTTTAATAGGACTACAGTTAAACCATGAAAATACTAGAAAACAACTACATATTATTTGGGAAAATAGCATATGGGCTGCTATAATCATTGTGGGAAGATGACATGGTATATATCATTAAACACTTTAAGGCTATACCAATATAGTTAAGAAATGAGGAATACCAAGGTAAAGTGCTGAAAAAGAATGCTACAGATGGGGCTAGAGTGATAGCACAGCGGGTAGGGCGTTTGCCTTGCATGCAGCCGACCTGGGTTCAATTCCAAGCATTCCATATGGTCCCCCAAGCACTGCCAGGAGTAATTCCTGAGTGCAGAGCCAGGAGTAACCCCTGAGCGTTGCTGGGTGTGACCCCAAAAGCAAAAACATTTAAAAAAAAGAATGCAACAGAAAGAGCTTGGACTTAGGCCAGGGAGATCGTGTATCTGGAAGGGCACTTTCCTGGCCCATGATCAATCTAGGTTCAATTTCCAGCACCAATCTGTGGTGTGATCTCTGAGGTGTGGCCCAAAATTTAAAAACATAAAATAATTTTAAAAAGGAGCTTGAACTTGATTCTGTTAAGTGACAAAGAGTCAACAAAAACGGAGATGATTTCTTCAAAATTCAAAAGGATATTTAATGACAAGGAAATTTAATGATTTTAATAATTAGCATCACTTAAATATTTGTAAAATATTGTTATAAAAGTATAGTGTGATGCAATTTTGGTAAAAGTAAATGGAAAGATATACGCAAAGTACAGAGATTTTCCTCAAAATGAGGTTAATTTGTTAATCAAATTTATTGAGATATAGTTTATACTTATATAAAATTGGTTCATTATATTGTAGTCTATATTTGTTGTGTATATCATGTAGTCCACCATTACAGTTACAAAGAGGCATGCAAGTTGTCAGTTGATCTGTTTTCTATTTTTACAAATTTGCCTTTTTCTGAAATTTCATATACATGAAATAAGATTATTTTGTAGTCTCCTGTATCTAACTTCTTTTGCTCAATTTTTCAATTTCATTTCTGTATTAACATGTATCAATAATTGTAACTTGTTGAGTTGTATTCCATTAAATATCCCACAATCTGTTTATTCATTTGTGTATGGATTGACATTTGGGTTGTGTTCTGCTTATTACCATTTTATTATAGGTATAATAGTGACTTATTTTGATTTGAACTTCTTTAATAACTAGATATTGAATATTCATGGCCATTTTTATGTATGAAATCTGATCAATTTTTTTCTCATTTAAAAAAATCAAATTGTTAATCTTAAAGTACCGGAAGATATATATCAAATGATTATCTCTAGAATCTCTAATGATTATCTCTTAATCTCTGTTAATGTTACTTTTATTTCCTTCTTTTGGGTACTCTTTTTTTTCTAATCTGCTAATACGTTTAACACTAACTATTCTTGTAATTTTAAAATTTGTATAAAAATGAAAATGGAGTTTAGACTTTGAAGTAAAGTAGTAAAAAGTAGTATAACTGGAAAAAAGCACAAGACTAGAAGGGGCCAGAGAAAGAGTGCAGTAGGTAAGGCATCGGGGCCAGAGCAATAGAGTACAGTGGGTCCAGTGCTTTGCATAGCACACAGCAGAGCCCCATAATCGCATACTGCCAAGAGTAATCCCTGAGCCACACGACTGTGGCCAATAAAAATGAAAACAAAATTAAAAAACAGTGGGTATGGCAAATTACCTTGCACACTAAGCATCAGTCCTCAGAACCGTCAGGAATAATCCCTGACCACAGCCAGGAATAAGCCTTAAGGACAGCCATATATAACACTCTTCCCTTCGCCCTGTGCCCCCCTACACACACACACACACACACACACACACACACACACACACACACACACACACACACAGAGATTAGGAGAGCATTTCCTTTTTAGACAGCCTTATTCTTGGCCTTTTGTAGAAATAGCTGATTGTATGTGTTGGTACTAAAATAGGAAAAATATCTATTTTAATTGGAGGAAGCAAACAGTTGTATTTTCTCTGGAGGGGAAAATTTAAGAGAGCTTAAACTGATTTTAAAGTAAAACCAGGAAAAATAACTATTGAAAATTATTACTTTCCAATGAGTTGATGTATTTTTGTACACTGTTGGTCCATTTGTAATCTATAATTTTTTTTTAGAAAACTTTTCAGCTACCCAAAGGTGAATGACAGGGATTATGTATTAAATTAGCCTACATTTGATATCTCAAAAAGAAAAACATAGCATTAAAATAAACTTTTCATCACTTTTAATAATTTTGAATTATTGTTCTTGTCTACTAATAAGACTAATGAAATTCTTCAAGAAGGTCATTATTATGCTATCCTTATATATATTTGTATCTCTTAAATTAAAATCACTTTTTTTCTACATGTCAAAATTATGGGAAGGACTGGTTTGGTATTGTTAATTTGATATGCTTTTGGTCAAGTAAATACCAAAGTTGCTTTCTCTGGTTTAATAAAATTATTTCAAGTAACCAGAGAAGCTATTAGAGAATTCCTGGGTTCCTATTTTAATATTCCTTTCATTTTAAAGACCAACCTATGAATGCATTTACATAGTTTTAGTGATTTTTTTTTGTTGTTTGAGGGTACTATAATGTGGAACAAATGCTGTACCATTGAACTATATCTCTGGGGGGGGGAGGGAATATATATGTATGTGTATAAATATATATACATATATACATATATATTTAATGGTAATAATTTTAGAGGCATTGACATTCAGAACATACATAGTATATCTTTTAGAGAAAGTAGTTCACAAATAAAAATATACCTTTAAGGGATTTGGATAGAAGAAAAAGAGATTTTTCTGTCACTTAATTTAAAATGGGCTGGAGCGATAGCACAGCGGTAGGGCGTTTGCCTTGCACGCAGCCAACATGGGCATCCTGAGTTCGATTTCTCCGCCCCTCTCGGAGAGCCTGGCAAGCTACTGAGAGTATCTCACCCTCATGGCAGAGCCTGGCAGGCTACCCGTGATGTATTCGATATGCCAAACACAGTAACAACAAAGTCTCCAGTGGAGATGTTACTGGGCCCGCTTGAGCAGACGACGGGAGGACAGTGACAGTGACAATTTAAAATATATATTAAATTTAAAATAAATTGATAGAAATTAAAAAGAGAAACTAAAGCAGAAGGAAGTCACTTAAATTGAAAGAAAATTTGATTTAATATGAGTAGTTTCTTTGAGAAGTGTACAGTTTTCTCTAAGAAAGATGAAAAAAATACTAATTGCTCTAGGAAAAAAATAACTGTGGATGCAGGTACAGGTGATTAAAAATTGTAAACAATATACTACAGCTTTATTACTAAATATAAGTGATATTAAGTGGACTATATCTCTTTTGAAAATATAAGTTGCCAAGGAATTTCAGAAAAGACAGCAAAAAAAAAAAAAATAAAGTAACCTAGTATGGCTCATTGTCCAAAAGCCTTACTAATGTGAGACTGTGAGTTCAGTATCCCTTGCCACCCACATGATCCTGCAGCTTAGGATCCTCAGTGCTGCATTGAAGGAGACCTCTGGGTCATAGCCAGGCTTAAGTGGATATTACACTTACTGTGCAAGCATAGTGGCAAGAAGTATAACTTCCAGTGAGCATGTGTTTGAGCATCACAATAACCCCCAGCAAGCTTGATGACCAGAATGTGTGTCAGCACAACAATTTAAAGAATATGACTTCCAGCAAGCTCATGTGAAGGCACCAAAACTAAAGGTGTGTGTTCCATATGAGTACTTTGTCTAAGTGTGCAAGTGCCGCAATCTGGCATTTGACCTTCAGCAAAACCAAGTATACTAGATAAACTGGTAATTAGTTAGAAAGATAAAACAAAAAAAATCAGGTAAAACTGAAAGATAAAACTCTCACCCCTAAGAGAGTCTACAGGCCCATATAATACTATATCGAAACTATATCAAAAGCTGTATCAAAACAAACGATTTTTTGATGGAAATCATAAAGTCGCATAGACTTTTCCCCAAATGTCCTAGGATAGTGTATCTTAGATACTAAAAAAGGACAGTAAAGTATAAGCCAGTATGAATAACTGTACTTACTAAGTCTAAGCAAGCTCAGTTTTAAAATACTACTATAGCACTGTGGCACTGTCCTCCCGTTGTCATCGATTTGCTTGAGCGGGCACCAGTAACATCTCCATTGTGAGACTTGTTGTTACTGTTTTTGGCATACTGAATACGCCACAGGTAGCTTGCCAGGCTCTGCCTTGCAGGTGGGATACTCTCACTAGCTTGCCGGGCTCACCGAGAGGGACAGAGGAATCGAACCCAGGTCAGCCATGTGCAAGACAAACGCCCTACAAATGTTAAGTATTAGTAACTCACATTTAGAAATATATTAATCATTTATTTGCTCTATATTATGCTAAAAAGTTTATTTGGATTTTGTCTTTTCAAAACATTGAAAGGTATAATTCTACAGAAAAGGAAATAAAACTTAAAAAGTTTATCATCAAGTTATAAGAATTTATCCTTGGAATATAAGATTTATTCAACTTTAGGAAATGTTTAATATAATTAACTATAATATAATGGTCGTTTTATTACTTTCATTAATTTGGTAATCTATGGTTCCTTACAGTGTCATCTCTGATTTTTTTTTTTTGGTGGGGGGACACACCTGGCAATACACAGGGATAACTTCTGGCTCTGCACTCAGGAGTTCCTCCTGGTGGTGCTCAGGGGACCATATGGGATGCTGGGAATCGAACCCGGGTCTGCCGTGTGCAAGGCAAACGCCCTACCTGCTGTGCTATCGCTCCAGCCCCTGTCATCTCTGATTTTTAATAAAATTTTTTTTATTGAATTACAGTTAAAAGGTTATTCATTACTGAGTTTTAGTTATATAATGTTCCAACACCCATCCCTTCACCATTATACATTTCCATCACCAATGAAACCAGTTTCCTTCCCACCTCTGCCCCTTGCTACCTCCGTGGCAGATACTTTCTCTCTCTCTCTCTCTCTCTCTCTCTCTCACCCCGCCCTTACCCCATTTGGGCATATAGTTTGCAATACAGATCCTGAAAGGTTATCATGTATATCCCTGTACCTACCTTCAACACTTGATTCTTGTCCAGAGTGATCATTTCTAACTATTATTTCATAGTGCCTTCTATTGTCTGGTCCCTTCTCTATCCTAACTGCCCTAACTGATTTACATACAGTTGTATAAACATGATTTAAAACCTGCTAGATAGCAAGATAGCTATTGAAACAGAATTTCTTCCCCATGTATTGATTCTTAGGCTGTTTTATCATATGTAGGAAGGAAGTACTTCAAGGAAAATGTAGGACCCTGGCATGGATATTAAAATCTTATTTTTTTAATAAAGAGTATTGTTATTATGATTAAGAAATCATAATAACAATATTGAAATCTAAAAAAAGAACATTAATTATTTTCTTATGATTCTTTTTAATCCTTTCTTTTAAGTGGCTTTTATGAATACATCTTTTAAAATGAAGCCGAGTGCTAGAGAGATAGGACAGTGGGTAGGGCGCTGGACTCTTGCTTGAATGCGGCTAACCCAAGTTCGGTCCCCAGCACCCCAAATAGACTCTCACTCACTGCCAGATGTAGCTCCTGAATGCAGAGCCAAAAGTAACACCTGAGCATCATTGGGTGTGATACCCCAAAACAATGAACAATAAAATAAAGTTTACATAGATGCTGATGCTATTTCTTCTAAACAAGAAACTAATTTCTCTCTTAGGTACAAACTGTTTTGAAGTGATACCTCAAAAACAATGAGCGATGAAATAAAATTTATATAGATTCTCATGCTATTTCCTCTAACCAAGAAACTAATTTCTCTCTTTTTGTCTTACAAACTTAGGTACAAACTGTTTTGAAGCCAGTCCATCAGAAAGAAGGACAAGAATTAACTACCTTATTGAATGCTCCACATATTCAGGTAGAGAAATGATAGAGCATTACATTTGTGGCTTTCCTAGCATTTTTCCTTATTGCTTTTAAAGTTCTGAGACTAGAAGAAAATTCAGCCTGGCAAGCTACCGAGAGTATTGGATATGCCAGACACAGTAACAACAAAGTCTCCAATGGAGACGTTACTGGGCCCGCTCGAGCAAATCGACGATCAATGGGAGGGCCTTTATCTTTATCTTATCATCTGTTTTTAATTGTTTACAACCTATGGCAAAATTGTTATTGTGAAGTTAGACATTTTAATTAAATTATTTATTTATTTTGGCTTTTTTATCTCATACCTGGGGATGCTCAGGGTTACTTGTGGCTCTGCACTCAAGAGTTATTCCTGACAGTGCTCGGGGAACCATATAGGATGCTAAGGATCAAACCTGGGTTGGCCACATACAAGGCAAAGACCCTACCTGCTGTACTATTGCTCTGGCCCCTAATTAAGTATATGAAATACTTTCATATCTTAATTATTATTTTGTTTTCTTGTTTTTGTAATATATTAACATGACTAATCCACATATACAATTTAGATGTAAATTCAAATGTAAGATATACTTGTTTATAGAACATGTCAGTTCTAACTTGCCATATTTCAAGTACTCAGTAACTATACTGAATACTGACTGCCATACTCGGATTAGCCAAAATGGTCATTTTTAATAATTGGATTACTGTATGGAATTTCAGGTGGTTAACTTCACCTCTACATGCTTATATTTCTCATCACTCTCACTCCTGAAAAAGACTCTACATATTCTTGCCATCTTCTTTCTTTCCCTGAAGTAACCACCATTAGTTTTCACAGAGCCTAGAAGTCTTACTGGTTTTTTGCCAGTTCATTTGCTTTAGTTTCTTATATTCCACATCTGAGTGAAACCATTTAGTAATTGTCTTTCATTTTCAGTGACATTAAACTTAACATAATCACTTTAAGGTTCCATTTGTTTTTTTCCCAAAGGGGACAGTTTCATCTTTCTAAAATTTTTTTAATGTCAGAGTAGCAATTCCTTTAATATATGTATCCTAGATTCTTATTTAGTCATCTGTTAATAGGCATATAAACTGATTCCATGTTTTAACTATTGTGAATAATATTGTGATTATTAATATAGGGTGGCAGTTTCTTTCAACTTAATGTCTTCATATTCTTTAGATACTAGTTAAGAGAACCATATTCTTTTTAAAACAACTAATTATTTTTCACAAAATTTCTCCCTTCTTGATATTTTTTGCTTTGATTATCTATGGTATTGATCCTATAAATTAATTTTGTTTTTATACATTTAGATTTTTATAAACAATCCCAAAATATAGTTATAATATCCCAACATATCTCTACCATTTTTTTATTATGGTTATAACTGTAGAGGAATGAAATTTTATCTGTTCTTAAGTTGATGGACTGGAGCGATATATACACAGCATGTAGGGCATTTGTGTTGCTCTCAGCTGGCCTGGTTTTGATTTCTCCATCCCTCATGGAGAGCCCAGCAAGCTACCAAGAGTATCCCGCCCGCAAGGCAAGAGCATGGAAAGCTACCCATGGCATATTCAGTATGCCAAAAAGAGTAACAAGTCTCACAATGGAGACGGTACTGGTGCCCGCTCAAGCAAATCGATGAACAACTGGAGGACGGTGCTACAGTGCTTAAGTTGAAAAGTTTGAAATAGATCTGAATGAATTCCTGTACTAATTTTAAATCTTTAAAGACCAGAATACAATGTAAATGATTAAGTTAAATCCTTCTATTGAAATAAATGATACTTTAAAATGTTCTAATCTCTTTGAAATAGGCACTTTTACTGGCTCATGATAAGGTCGCTGAGCAAGAAATGCAGCTGGAGCCCATTACAGATGAGAGAGTCTATGAGAGCATTGGTCAGTATGGAGGAGAAACTGTAAAAATAGTTCGTATAGAAAAGGCTCGAGATATTCCTTTGGTAAGTGTTCTGTATCTCATCTGAGATTCTATAGATGAATTTCTATATATATGTTAGATGAAAACATCTTTAGATTTCTGGGGTTTTTTTTAGGTTTCATTTGTTGTGATTTACCATCTTATTTTCTTTAGTCATTTGAGAAAATTTAATCATCTTTTCTCATCCATAGTTTGATAAAAATAATAGCTTATTGATAGGTAGTAGGATTGGCACTGTCCGTCAAGTTGTCAGCAAAAGAAGTGGGAAGATCAGGAAGTTTGAGCCTTAGCTCAAGGTGGAAGACAAGGTCCTGTAAAAAAGAAACCTTGAAGAACAGTTTGCAGCTGGAGAGACACAACCAAAAAAAAAAAAAAAAGGAGACTGTGCTTATCCCATGGCCAGGATAGTTCCATCAGCTCAGAATACTTGATTATTGCATGACCCAGTGACCTTGTGGGAGGATAATTTGAAAGATCCTAACTATTTTAAAGATTTCAAATTAGGAAATATTGTAGATTTGATGGACAAATGTTTTTCTGAGAAAACAAGCCCAGTGAAAGTGCTAAATAAATGAATACAGATCACGGAAGTATACCAAAAATTCTTCTATGAAAATTTTCAAAATACTTTTGCAAGTATTTAGTGCTACAGTAAGGACTTTACAAACTGGATCCTAATGTTGTGGAAAAAGGAAGCTGGAAAGCAACTTATAATAAAGAGGCTAAAGAAAGAAAAAGAGGAAAACATTTCATCTAGTGTGATAAAAGATAGGTAATATTGTAGGGCCCAGAGTACAATGGGCACAGCACTTGCCTTGCACATGACTAACATGGTTGTGATCCGTGGTACTCCATGAGCACTGCCAGAAGTGATCCCTAAGCACAGAACCAGGAATACTCTACCTTTCAGTTACGTAAGTAAATTTTTTTAAGGTAGTTAAAGACTGGTATTATTGGATTAAAAACAATAATTTTAAAAAGAAGAAATACAAAGGCTGGGGTAAGAGAGATAGTTCATCAGGCTGGAGCACATGCTTTGCATAAGAGAACATCAAATCCCAGATTTGATCCCTGACACTGTATGGTCCCTGAAACCCAGCCAGTATGCTCCTAAAATAAATGAAAAAAAAAAAAAAAAGAAGTGCTTAGCATGAATGCTTTTTTATTTTATAGTAAGTTACTGAATATTCTATTTTAAGGGAGCTACAGTTCGTAATGAAATGGATTCTGTCATCATCAGTCGGATAGTTAAAGGAGGTGCTGCAGAAAAAAGTGGCCTGTTACATGAAGGAGATGAAGTTCTGGAGATTAATGGCATTGAAATTCGGGGTAAAGATGTCAATGAGGTTTTTGACTTATTGGTAAGTTGACACAGGAATAAAAATAATTGATAAGTTCTTAAATTTTTTGCTTTGTTATTAGATTAAAATATTTCAAAAGTTTTAAGATACTCAATAATTAAAAGGCTATCTTATTAAAAGAACTATTTCTATAATATGATTAGAATTTTGTTTTGGAGCAGTAACACTGATACTTAAATTTTTTAAGCTTTATAGCTATTGGCCATATTTTATTTGTCTCTGAAATCACTATTAATAAAACTCATTAATTCATGTAATATTTATTTCTTGAGTGGCTACTTTGTTATCTACCAGAGAAAAAAATCAAAAATCCTGCCTCATGATTTTTATTATATTTTTATTATCTTCAGTTAATTCTTTAATACTCAACAGTATTTGTATCCAGTGGCTGTCATATCAGGTGTAAATATGAAATACTTCCATCATTATAAAAAGTTCTGTTGAACATTGCTGTTATAATCAGAGAGCCTTTTTAGTCAGATGTTAAGGAAAATTTGTGATCATTTCGTATAGTTCAAACTACATATATTTTGAAATACTGATTTTTGTTAAAGTGTAACATATTCTAGAATAGTTTAGGGAACATCAGTTACAAGATCATGGGATGATTTTCATAAACATGGAATTTTAAAAAACCTAATCTTTCTATTACAGTCTGATATGCATGGTACTTTGACATTTGTTCTGATTCCCAGTCAACAGATTAAACCTCCTCCTGCCAAGGAAACAGTTGTAAGTGATTGTTTTTTATACCTATTTAATTTCTGATGCTACTGTTTACTTTGTTTTCAAATCCATAAATCTTGAGTGATTTGGAATTCACAGCAAAATTAAACAAAGTACAGAATTTACTTATTTCCTCACCCCTTCCTCCCCATCCCAAAATGTCAATCACTGTTGTCATTTGAAAAAAACAGAAAATGACTAAACAGAGAAGAAGGCCTTTAAGCAAAAAACAGCTTAAGTTGTGAAGACTGTCCACCAGTGTAGTCTGTAGCACAAATTTCAAAGCTAGGATGATGTAGCTATTTAAATATATTCCTAGTAGCCCTTTCATATTCATGAAAGGGAAAAGTGGGCATGCAGCATTGAGTAACATGCAGTGGCTGCTCATGGCCATACATTGCATGTACTAATTATAGCAGAGAAGTATCATCAGTGATACGGTTCTTAGCATGGTAGTTGAATAGACAGGGCTCTGCTGCTTGATCTCCACAGACTGGTACTGTTCTGCCACATGTCTAGGGTTGTCACCAATAAAGAAATATTCCTAAGTTTATAGAAGAGGTTGTCACACTCTCCAAACTCCAGGCCTCAGCCCAGTGTGTTGTAGCTTTTCCTAACTCCAAGAGTCCTGAGTTTTTAGGGAGAAAAGAGAATAGACAGACTTGTGAAAAGCTTTGATACTAGCAGCATCCTGCATAAGATTGGTATATTAGTTCTATCAGTGCATTGGTAGTTTCATTATTACCCCAATTTCAGATTGCATTAGGTTTGATTCTCAAAACTATTTGGTTCCCTAAAAGAAATAGTGACCAAAATACAAAGACAGTCTACAGAATGGGAAAGGATATTCGCCCAATACACATCCGACAAGGGGTTGATATCAAGGATATACAAAGTACTGGTTGAACTCCACAAGAAGAAAGCATCCAATCCCATCAAAAAGTGGGGCAAAAAAATGAAGAGAAACTTTCTCAAAGAAGAAATTTGAATGGCTAAAAGGCACATGAGAAAATTCTCTGCATCATTTATCATCAGGAAGATGCAGATCAAAACCGCAATGAGATATCATTTCACACCACAGAGACTGGCCCACATCCAAAAGAACAAAAGCAACCGGTGTTGGCGTGGATGTGGCGAGAAAGTGACCGTTCTTCATTGCTGGTGGGAATGCCGAATGGTTCAGCCCTTTTGGAAAACAGTATGGACGATTCTCAAAAAATTAGGAATTGAGCTTCCATTGGGGCTGGAGCGATAGCACAGCGGTAGGGCGTTCGCCTTACAAGCGGCCAACATGGCCGACCCAAGTTCGATTCCTCCGCCCCTCTCGGAGAGCCCGGCAAGCTACTGAGAGTATCTTGCCCACATGGCAGAGCCTGGCAAGCTACCCGTGATGTATTCGATATGCCAAACACAGTAACAACAAGTCTCATGATGGAGATGTTACTGGGCCCGCTCGAACAAATCGATGAACAACGGGAGGACTGTGACTGACTGTGACTGAGCTCCCATTTGACTCAGCAATACCACTCCTGGGAATATATCCCAGAGAGGCAAAAAAGTACAGTTGAAGTGACGTCTGCACTTGTTTGTTCATTGCAGTACTGTTTACAGTAGATAGAATCTGGAAAAAACCTGAGTGCCCAAGAACAGATGACTGTTAAAGAAACTTTGGTACATCTACACGATGGAGTACTATGCAGCGTTTAGAAAAGGTGAAGTCATGAAATTTACATACAAGTGGTACTACATTGAAAGTATCATGCTAAGTCAGAAAGAGAGGGACAGACAGACATACAAAGATTGCACTCATCTAGGGAACATAAAGTAACAAAATAGGAGACTAACACCCAAGAATAGCTGAGATAAGTACCAGGAGGTTTACTCCATGGCTTGGAGGCCAGCCGCACATGCTGGGGGAAAAGGCAGCTCAGATAGAGAAGGGAGCACCAAGTAAAAGGGGTTGGGAGGATCCTCCCAGGATGGGAGATGCATGCTGAAAGTAGACTATAGACCGAACATGATTGGCACTCAGTGCCTATTTTGCAAACCACAGCACCCAAAAGGAGAGAGAGAACAAAAGGGATGCCCTGTCACAGAGGCAGGTTGGGATGGGGGGGATGAGGGGTGGAAGGGATACTGGGATCAGTGGTGGTGGAGAATGGTCACTGGTGGAGGGTTGGGTACTCAATCATTATATAACTGAAACCCAAGCATAAAAATTTGTAAGTCTACAACTGTACCTCATAGTGTTTCACTAATAAAAATTTTAAAAATAAAACAAACTGTAAAAAAAGCATATATATGTGTGTGTGTATATATATATATATATATATACATATATATATATATATATATTTGGTTCCCCAAGTATTATAACATAGGGTGAGCTCAGTACCCTAAGCTGTCCCTCTGACTTCAAAATTGAATTCTTACGCCATTTGTCGGACTTTCAGACTCTGTTTTCCTTAGGATCCTTGAATAAAGGTTACGTATATGCGTCTTTAATGTACCCTGGGCTGGAGCGATAGCACAGCGAGTAGGGCGTTTGCCTTTCACGTGGTTGACCTGGGTTCGATTCCTCCGCCCCTCTCGGAGAGCCCAGAAAGCTACCGAGAGTATCTCGCCCGCACGGCAAAGCCTGTCAAGCTACCCTTGACATATTTGATACCCCAAACACAGTAACTTGTCTCACAATGGAGACGTTACTGGGCCCGCTTGAGCAAATTGATAAACAACAGGAGGACAGTGCTACAAATGTGCCCTAATATCTCTGGAAGTTTTAGTCTGAAGGAAATTAAATAGATGATGAGAAGGCTGTGTCTAGGTCTATGACCTTTGCCAGACATAGCTATTGGTTGTAAGGGAATGAGGTAGGGCTTCTGGGTTGCTGGTAATAATCATATTTTTTCAAATTTTGTTTATTAGAATTTAGATTTCTACCACTAAGCAATAGCACAGCGGGTAGGGCGTTTACCTTGCACGCAGCCAACCCAGGTTCCATTTCGCAGTCCCTCTCAGAGAGCCCGACAAGCTACCGAGAGTATCCCTCTGCACGGCAGAGCCCGGCAAGCTACCCATGGTATAATCAATATGCCAAAAACAGTAACAAGTCTCACAATGGAGATGTTGCTGGTGCACGCTTGAGCAAATCGATGAACAATTGGAGGACAGTGCTACAGTGCTGCAGAATTTAGATTTCGTTTTTATTATAACCAGTAAAATATTTAATGAAATTGGAAATGATTAGGTTTTTTTGGGAGGGGGGTCACACCCAGCGATGCACAGGGGTCACTCCTGGCTCTGCACTCAGGAATTACTCCTGGCGGTGCTCAGGGGACCCTATAGGATGCTGGTAATTCAACCCAGGTGGGCCAACTGCAAGGTAAACACCCTACTCGCTGTGCTATTGCTCCAGCCCCAATAATGTATTCTTTAATGATACCGTCAAGCAAAATTATTTTGGGACTGCAAATTCTTGGTTATTTTAATTTATAATGGAGAACATGCCCTTTTTAGAAATACTTAGTCAAATTTCAGTGTTATCATTGATTTGCAATAATTAATTCCTGAACTTTTTTCAGTGATTAAAAATACTTTATCTCATAAAACAATTTTGAGACAGGACATTATTATTGTTATGGTAGCAATGTATTTATAGTGAGGATAAAAGAATTAAGAAAAGCCAAATATCACAGTGATAGAAAAGGGCTCAAAACTATAAAATTCTCAGTCTGTCAGTCAGTTTCTGGGCTCATTGACCACAAACCTGAAATTTAAATTAAATTTAGCAGAAATACTCTATGAATACAGTTTTTTCATTAGATGCATGCTTGATCAGGAAGAGGCGATGGCACCAGCAAAACTGACATTCAGCTGCCTAGATTACAGATATAGGAGGTTTAAAGTCTTAACTTTAGTGATGATGGTTATATGAAAATTTTGAATCTTATTCATTTTATTGCAGCCATCATTTTCATAGTTCAGGGGTGGAAGGATTCAATTCCTTCTGCGTCTCATAAGGTCTGTTATGCTTCAGCTTGTTAGTTGCCAATAGTAAAGTGTTTTTTCATATTCCTAAAAATGTGTTTTGGATCAGCAGCATGAAAATAATTAAAATATTTAAGAATAGATGAGTCTGAGAAAGTGCAATCCCCAAATGCTATTACATAACTTAATGTTCTCTTCCAGTTCAGATATTGTTATCGTTTCATTGTTATTATTTTATGATTAATCTTTTTCTTTTTTAGATCCATGTAAAAGCTCATTTTGACTATGACCCATCTGATGACCCTTACGTTCCATGTCGGGAGTTAGGTCTCTCTTTTCAAAAAGGGGATATTCTTCATGTGATCAGTCAAGAAGATCCAAATTGGTGGCAGGCTTACAGGGAAGGAGATGAAGATAATCAACCTCTAGCTGGGCTTGTGCCAGGTAAGAGACAATGGAGTAGAAAGTAGATAGTTAAAATATAGCCAAAGAATATTTTAAGTACAAGCCTTGTCAGAGAAAATCTCATCATTTTTTGCTTTTTAAAACGTAATATAGTGGGGCCAGAGAGATAAGGATAGCGGATAGGGCGTTTGCCTTGCACATGTCCTACCCGAATTCAATCCTTGCACATGTCCTACCCGAATTCAATCCCTAGCATCCCATATGACCCCCCAAGCACCACCAGGAGTAATTCCTGAGTGCAGAACCAGCAGTAACCCCTGAGCATTGCTGTGTATGGCCCAAAAAGAAAAAAAAATGGGGGGGAGTAATAGAGCTGGGCCCCATAGAACACTGCCTTAGGTTTGATTCTTGCCACCACATTGTTCCCTGAGCACCACTGACAATTACCCTGAGCATAGCCAAATATATAACTACTTATTTATATAGTTTGTTTTTTGTATTGTGTTTGTATCTTGAACAGAAATGTGGGTAATTTTTTTTGGATTTAGAAACACCAACCTTTTCAATGTTGTTTTAATGAGTTCAATCCTTGTTTTGTGCCTATAGTTCACAAACTTGATTTCAAGTAGAAATTTGTTTAAGGCATCTTTTTTAAGAAATAAGGGGGATGGATGAATAAGACAGTGGGTAGGACACTTGCCCTGCAAATGACCAACCTGGGTTCAATCTCTGGCATCCCTTATGGTCCCCTGAACACTGCCAAGAATGATTCCTGAATGCAGAACTAGAAATAATCCCTCGGTATCTTTAATGTGGCCCCTGAGTATTTCTGGTGTGACAAAACAAAAAGAAAAAAGGACAGAAGGACAACTGATTTTATCATTCCTAAGGTATCTTTGAGTGGGTTAATAGGGTACTTCAAAATTTTCACCAAAGAAGATTCTGTAGGGACTGGAGCAATAGTACAGTGGGTACGGCATTTACCTTGCATGCAGCAGACCCGGGTTCGATTCCCAGCATCCCACATGGTCCCCCGAGCACTGCCAGGAGTAATTCCTGAGTGCATGAGCCAGGATTAACCCCTGTGCATCGCTGGGTGTGACCCAAAAATAAAAATCAAAAAAATATTTGCTAGGTTAGACTATATGAAAACTTTGCTCATATTGGACCTAACTATAAATTTTGGGTGGGAGAGACGTTGGGCCATGCACAGCTATGCTTAGTCAGTGATTACTCCTGGCAGGGATCAGGGCACCACATAAGGCACTAGCAATTGAACGGGGGTATCCACATGCAAGGCAAGTCCCTTACTTGCTGTACTACCTCTCTGGCCCCAAGGACACTAAATATTAAGGGAGAAGATGATAATGTAGTTTGATCCTGGGTCGGCCACATGCAAGACAAGCACCATACCCTCTGTACTCTTGCTCCAAGCCCTAAACTTCCAATTTTAGTTGATCGATGAACAATGGGAGGACAATTGCTCCAAGCCCTAAACTTCCAATTTTAGTTGATCGATGAACAATGGGAGGACAATGCTACAGTGCTGCAGTGTATACTGCATCTAAGATGTGTGATTCCCAGTGAACACCACAGCAAGCATGTATAAGATTGTATCATCACAGCAACAATGTAGGGAATCAAAACTGTATAATTATACATGTATATCATGTAGGTATTATATATCTAATAATAAATATATAAATACTATATTCTGTAACATAAAACTGTTAGTTGGAATGAGGAAGTTGTCTAAGGATTGTAGCATCTACTATGACTCCCTTCTAAAAGATGATTTTCTGAGTGAAACAGGAAATTAACTTAATATTTAATAATAATATATTTTGGAGCCAGAGAGGTAGTAGAGTGGATAGGTTGCTTGTGTTACATGCTGCTGACTCGGATTTGATTCCTGAACCACTTATGGTTCCCCCAGGCATCTCCAGCAGTGATAACACAGAGCCAGGAATAAGCTTTGAGTGCTTCTAGGGGTAGCCCCAAAACAAAATGAAAGTAATAATATGCTAGAGTTGTTCTTTCTATGTATAATATCATAGAATGCCACAGATCCCCAAAAACTCAGTTTAAAGAAACAGCTTACAATGCTAGTACACATGCTTTGAATATGGGAGGCCCAAATTCTATTCCTGCACTAACATCATCCCCTGAGCACCAAGCCAAGAGTAGCTCCCTGAGTACTACCATGTGTGTATCAAATTGTTTTTAAAAAATTTAAAAGCACTTTAATGTTTTAAAACATTTTAGTACATTACAATCTTAATCTTGAAGAGAAAAATAAGGTGTGTGTATGGGTGTGAGAGAGAGAGATTTTGGGGTTTTTTTTTTGTTTGTTTGTTTTTTGTTGTTTTGTTGCCACAGCTGGCTGTGCTCAGATTTACTCCTGACTCTGAGCCTAGGGATCACTCTTGAGGAGGTCCAAGAACCATATGCAGTCTCAGGGATCAAAGGCAAGAGTCCTACCTAGTCACTGTACTATCAGTCTAGCCCTTTTTTAATTTATTTTTAAAAAATATTTTTTTAATTTACTCGAGACTTCAGTAACTTAAAGATTTAAGTAAATTAATATTAATACATAAGGTTACAAAAATGGGGGGAGTGGGAATGGAGGATAATAAATGCAAGGCTATGTGTTTAATGTCTTAGAATTTAATAGTGATGAATGTCTATATATCTTTTTCTTTAATTAGCTCCTGGATTAAATTTTTTTAAATTTTTATTAGTGAAATACCTTGAGGTACAGTTGTAGACTTACAGATTTTTGTGCTTAGGTTTCAGTTATACAATGTTGGAGTACCCATCCCTCCACCAGTGCCCTTTCTCCACTACCAGTGATCCCAGTATCCCTCCCATCCCCCATCTCCCCATTCCCCCCCATCCCAACGCGCCTCTTTGGCAGGGTATTCCCTCTTGTTCTTTCTCTCCTTTTGGGTGCTGGTGGTTTGCAAAAGAGTCATTGAGTAGCAATCATGTTCGATCTATAGCCTACTTTCAGCATGCTTCTTCCATCCTGGGAGGATCCTCCCAACCCCCTTTATTTGGTGTTCCCTTCTCTATCTGAGCAGCTATTTCCCCTAGCATGTGCGGCTTGCCTTCAAGCCATGGAGTAAACCTCCTGGTACTTATCTCAGCTATTCTTGGGTGTTAGTCCTCCTGGATTAATTTTGAAGTAATTCTAAGTACTCAGAACCATTATGAGATCCAGCATCATTCTGTCATGTAGTAAATTGAAATTCAGTAAAAGTTTTGAGAAATTGAACTATTAAATTTTTTAACACTGATTTGTTGTATATATACTAGTAATATGAGTCGTAGGATTAGTTAAGATTGAGGTTAAATTTAGTACTTAAAAAATTTGGGGACTGGAGCAATAGTATAGTGGGTAGGGCATTTGCCTTGCACACGGCTGACCTGGGTTCGATCCCTGGCATCCCATATGGTCCCCTAGCACCACCAGGATAATTCCTGAGTGCAGAGTGAGAAAACATCGCTGGGTGTGACCCAAAAAGTAAAAAAAAAAAAAAAATGGAAGTTTTGGGTTTGGAGCAATAGTACAGAGGGTATGGTGCTTGTCTTTCATGTGGCCGACCCAGGTTCAATCCCTAGCATCCCATAGGTCCTCTGAGCTCTGCAAGGAGTAATTCCTGAGTACAGAGCCAGGAGTGACCCCTGAGCACTGCCGGTGTGACCCAAAAACAAACAGTTTGAAAGCTTATAATCATAACTAAATATTCCAATAATACCAGGACATAGGAATATAATGAAGAGTAGTTGTTACTTCTGATGTTTTTCCCCTTAATTAGAAAAATCTTCTATGTTTTAGTCTTTATCTTTAACTGTTTTTCTTTCTGCTCTTCAGGGAAAAGTTTTCAGCAGCAAAGGGAAGCCATGAAGCAAACCATTGAAGAAGATAAGGAGCCAGAAAAATCAGGTTGAACATTTATATTTAACATTAATGAGGTTTTTTTTTGAGTCTCCTTCTGGAAGGACGATTAAATTTACATATGATTTAGAATTTAGAACTTAAATCAAGAAAATTTAAGAATGGTGAAAATGTTAAGAATGATGTGAAGATCGTCTTAGGAAAAATTTATTATTTAAGGATAGCATATAAAAAGAATTTGAGTAAAGAATGTAAATGACTGTTAAAGGAAGTCTTAATATGGGATTAATAAAAACATCACAAATTATTCCCTGAAAATACATATAGTTGTGCTGTGGGTAATATATATGAGAGGTTCCCAAACTTATTTATAGACCTACATTATCCCAGGAAAACACTCAGTGTACTCCACTGTAAATTTTTTCCTTACGTAAATAAGGGCACCACACACATCGCAGTTACACCTCAGTGTATGGCTTACTGGTATAAGTGTTTATAAGTTTAAATAGAATGTTATATTAAGTGCTTCAATTTGAAATAATGCTACTTCATTCGAAACAAAATATTTTATCATTATGTTTCTTCAACAGGAAAACTATGGTGTGCAAAGAAAAATAAAAAGAAAAGAAAAAAGGTTTTATATAATGCCAATAAAAATGATGGTAAGTTCTACTGTCTTACATAGCTAGACTTAAATCCAAAGTTTAAGTACAAAACTTGAAAAATGTAAGTTATTACTGTCAGAGTTTTATTTCTAGTCCTAATTTGTAAACACATATAGTATACATGTTTCAGAAAGTCTTTTAGTAGAATTTTTTTTTTCTCTTTAAACTCAAGAAATACATTGTTTTGAATGCTGAGAAGAAAAATTTCAAATGAAGTTCAGTAGTATAGTGTTTGTCGATAATTTTCTAATTTTTCTAAACTATATATGTGAAATTAATGCATGCTTCTAACATTCTAAATTCTAACAGTAGTTTGTATTTTAAGTAAAAAGTTTTTTTCTCAATACCTCTGTTACAGAGGCAACCCATTACACAAAACTTGATTCCTACACACGAGACAAATGTTCTCTTGTTTTATTTTCATTTATTGCTTGGATTACAAAATTGGGGTGAGGGGGGGATGGAGGGTGGGAGGGATACTGGGATCCGTGGTGGTGGAAAATGGGCACTGGTGGAGAGATAGGTATTTGATCATTGTATAATTGAAACCCAAGTACAAACATTTGTAATCTACAACTGTACCTCATGGTGTTTCACTAATTAAAAAAAAAGAAGAAAATGATAACAAGAAAAAAAAAGAGCAAAGGCAAGGATATTTGCATAGCTGTGGCCATAGAATGATAAATAGCAAGTACTTTAATGTATAGTATCAAAGTCATGGTAGTCTATTTTAAGCAGGAAATTTCCTTCCTGGGCACACATTTACATCCCTCATTGTCTAAATTAAGCTAAACTTGTATTATCCAGGGAGCACTCTATGAACATTGAAATAGGGAACAGTTTCCCACATGTAAATGGGGACACTGTCGAATTAATACAGTTAGTAGGATTTCAGGTTTTATACTGGGAAGAGCTTTTTGGAAAAGGAAGGTCTTATATTTGTAATAATGTTATTTTCATTATTATTTTATTAGTAATTAGCAGTATAATGGCTTCTCTATTTCAGGAACATTAATTTTCTAAAGCATATGGTTACACCTTCATGCATTTCAATTCTTACAATAAGCTAATTGAAAGATTAAACTGTAGTACTCCTCTTCCTAAATTAACAAAAATAATTTTTTTTAAGGATTACAGATTAAGGGCCAGAGAAGAAGCTCAAAGCATTAGTGTGCATACTTTGCATGTAGGAAATTCAGGTTCGGTGATCTCTTGCATACCCCTAGGAGTAATCCCCAAGCAGTGTACTAGGAGTACCTCCTGGACTCTACTGTTTATGGACTATAAAACAGCAGCAAATAAAAAATTATAGGTTAATAGTTTTTAGATCACATATTAAATGACCTGCTTAAGTTATTTTACAGCTAGTATATAGTTGGACTAGAATTGAACCAATATAATTTGAGATTCTGCTTTGCCATGATTTGTATTTAACACAAGATTAAGAGATTTCCTACCTCTCATGGGACTCATGACTGAGAAAGTCTGGGTACACATCTATTGTTCTTTCCCAGGAGAAACAATAGGAATGAGGAAATGGCAGGCAGCTAATCACTTACCTTTGTACTTAACAGTTGTAATGTCATCTGGATTATGGGCTTTAGTAATATCACTTCACCTATCATAATTTATACCTCTTGAATCATAACTTGTGATTAGCATTAGTATTCCCACCTAATGTAATAAAATGCAGAAAGTACATATAGCTAGGTATGACCTTGTTTTCAAGGTATTTCAGCTTTCTCTGATAATTCTAGTTGTAGGTACTGTTTACAATTGACATGAACTGTGTGCTCAGGATATATATTATCCAATTCCTAAAAGCCCAGTACAGGGCTGGAATGATAATACAGTGGGTAGAATGTTTGCCCTGCATGATGCTGACCTGGGTTTAATCCACGCTTCCCATATGGTCCCCCGAGCATCAGAGTGTGACCCAAAAAGCCTAATTACTTAAAAAAAAACCCGATACACTAAGTAAAGAAATAATCTCCTATTTTACAAAAGTGATACATTATTCTCATCTATTTATTCTAGTACTCCTCTGTTAAAGCATTACCTGCAAATTATTTTATGTAAGAGTCAATATAATTATATTGTTTTAAACATTCACTAGGGCTAATTCATGAAATTAGCCCTAGTCTTGTGTGTAGGGCTGGAGCGATAGCACAGTGGGTAGGGCGTTTGCCTTGCGCGAGGCCAGCCCAGCCAAGCAGGCTTCGATTCCTCCACCCCTCTCGGAGAGCCCAACAAGCTACCAAGAGTATCTCGCCAGCACGGCAAAGCCTGGCAAGCTACCCATGATGTATTCAATATGCCAAACATAGTAACAAGTCTCACAATGGAGACATTACTAGGCCTGCTCAGCAAATCAATGAGCAATGGGAGGACAGTGCTACAGTGCTAAACATTCAGTCAGTATTACAAGAGAAGCAGTAAGAAGTTTTGGAATGATTATGTTATCAAGTTTGTTTTCATAGTATCCTAGCAAGGATATAATAACATGAGAAAATATTCCTGATATAATGTTACCATTTATCATTATTATATAAAAGATTTAATCATTTTAAAGGGCTGGAGCGATACCACAGCTGTAGGGCGTTTGTCTTACAAGCGGCCAACATGGCCGACCCAAGTTCGATTCCTCCGCCCCTCTCGGAGAGCCCAGCAAGCTACCGAGAGTATCTCCCCCGCACGGCAAAGCCTGACAAGCTCCCTGTGACGTATTCGATATGCCAAACACAGTAACAAGTCTCATGATGGAGATGTTACTGGGTCCATTCGAACAAATCGATGAACAACGGGAAGACCGTGACCGTGTACAATCATTTTAAATAAATTTTATTTCCAATTCTTGAGAAGATAGCAATCTATTTTTAGAGGATTCTCTATTTAGACCCAGTTTTTGAAGATAGAGATCTTCAGCTGTCTATAGCTTTTTAATTATTATTAAGTGTGTATTTATTACATTTCTTTTCCAAAGATTATGACAATGAGGAAATCTTAACTTATGAAGAAATGTCACTTTATCATCAGCCAGCAAATCGGAAAAGGCCAATCATTTTGATTGGTCCACAGAACTGTGGCCAGAATGAACTGCGTCAGAGACTCATGAATAAAGAAAAAGACCGCTTTGCATCTGCAGTTCCTCGTAAGTTTGGATACATTCCCATTTTCCAGTGCTTTTCAGTTTATCACCTGGAAAACCAACTATTGTAGGGAAATTATTATCCAGTTCCTCAAAACAGTATTGTTAAAGAACTTTGTTCTAACAAAATTGGGGGGGAACTTTTAGAAAGATAGTCATTCTTGAGAAATTTTAATTATTCCTAAATATGGTACTAATTGTTTTGGACTTTTTAAAACTTCCTAATACATATAAAATCAGTTCCTGACTCTCTTAACCAATGGAAAAAATAGAAATTTAGGTTTAATCTCTGAACATAGAACTTCTGTTTAATTATTGTATCATACCTGATAAAAACTTAAGGGAAAAAGCAGTGGTAGTGTTAAGGTAGATAAAGTAATTTAAAGTTTAAGTGCAGACTGTTATTATGGTAATTACTATGATACTAATGCTAAAAACATTTTGTTTCTTAATATATAAATGAAAACTGTTAAATGTTAAATACACAGGCTATTAATATATCCTCAATTTAGTATTTTATTATCTCTCTTACAAAAATTTTTCCACTAGAATTATTACCACTCTCACTCTTATTCATGCTCATTATTTTTACCTGATTTGTTTATCTAGATACCACTCGCAGTAGGCGAGACCATGAAGTAGCTGGTAGAGATTATCACTTTGTTTCACGACAAGCATTTGAGGCAGATGTAGCAGCTGGAAAGTTCATTGAGCATGGTGAATTTGAAAAAAATTTGTATGGAACCAGCATTGATTCTGTGCGGCAAGTGATCAACTCTGGCAAAATATGCCTTTTAAGCCTCCGTACACAGGTAAAAAACTATTTCAATTTAGGCTAGTGAAAGTATTTTTGCAAAGTAATGTAGTGGAAACTACAAGAACCACAGGGCCTAATTAAATTCTCATAGTATTTTCCCTACTGATTCTCTGCATGAAATAAGACAGCTTTCTACATCTTTCACTTTCTTCAAGCAGAACCTGGGGGGATAACTCAGTGGTAGAGTGCATGCTATTTTCTCTTTTTCTTTTCGTTTTTTATTTTTAACCAAATAAAATATGGCTAGCATTTGATCTCTAGCACCAAAAAAATAAGAACAAAGCAGAAGTCAGTTTTTCTCAGAGAAGAAAATACATATACAATATAGATAGGTAGATAAATAAAATAATGTTTGAGGTATTTAAGGTTTTTTTTAGGAAAATTTGCATTAATATGGTGGTGCTTGCTGCTTATGTCAACTCAGGAAACATTAGAGACAAAGGAGAGGGGATCGGGGCATGGCCTAGACTTGTACGCTGCAAGCTTGAAACGGTGAGTTCAGTCCTGCATTGCTCACCTGCATCGACTGTGGTCCTTGAGACTGCTATCTGGAACCTGTAGCAGCAGTAGAGTGTGCAGTCCCTAGTGCACAGCAAGGAGTATATGGAGAGCACTACAGTTGAGTGTGTGAGCACCACAGCCTGTGTGTATCACCCTCAGCAATTAGCACAGCACCAACAAAGGAGGGGTGAAGAGAAAGGAAAATATGAAATAGTTATGAAATAGCTCTCCTGAGACAGGTGTTTTGTTTTTAGTAGTAAAAGTACCTTTTCCTATTATTTCAGTTATGGACATTTGACTTAAGCATAAGTGTTTAAATTCCTTAAAAATTCCTAATATTGTTTAGACTAACAGATTTATGAAAGAACAGAGAGTAGTTAAACATAATAGTCTAATTAGTATTAATTTTGTTTTTCCTCCCCTTCCCTTCGTAATTGTTGCAATAATCAAAATCACACAAACTTCATTGTGATGCTCACACATTTTTTTAGACACTTGATTTTGAGGTGTTGCACACTTTAGTTCACACACATTTGGCTGCAGTGCTGCCAGAATCTCAGCATGTGGTACAGCATGTTCAGCTCACAGCCTCATGCTTTTGAGGCAGGTGCTTTACCACTGACCACACCCCAGGCCCTTTAATTTTTTTTTTTTTTTTTTGGCTTTTTGGGTCACAGGCAGTCCACAGGGGTTACGTCTGGCTTTGCATTCAGGAATTACTCCTGGCAGTGCTCAGGGGACCATAGGGGATGCTGGGAATCAAACCTGGGTCAGCCACATGCAAGGCAAACATCCTACCCACTGTTCTATCTCTCCAGCCCCATTTAATAATTTTTTTTATGGAAAAAGGAACTGTCCCATGTCTAGAAGAAAGTACAGTAGGAAAGATGCTTGCCTTGCATAGGACCCACCTGCACCACAAATGTTCATTCTGGCAGGACTGATCCCTGAGCACCACAAGGCATGGGCCCAAAACAGACCCAAAAAAGGACCTGCCCTCCCCGTCTAAGCCCTTTTATAATAGAGTGCGTCAGTTTAGAGAAATACAGTAATGTAATAGCAAAGACAAGGTTACAAAGAATCTCCTAATTCAAAACGAGTTTGCTTACTTTGGATGTTTTATTTCAGAGTTTTCTTTTTCATATATTTGTGAAATTTTTCATTTGATTTTGCTGTTTAATACCTGGAATGTAGTAAGATAACTAACATGTCTAAATTTCTTCAGAATGATAAGGGGGCAGAGGCAGGGGGTTGGTCCTCACAGGGCTTACTCCTGCTTCTGTGCTCATGAGTCACTTTGACAGTGCTTGAGGGACCATATGCAGTGCTAGGGATTTGAACCTGGATCAACTGCATGTAGGGCAAGGCCCTTTTTAACTAGGTGACCTCAAAAACGGATTTTTAACACGGCTATTAAAATCTGTGTGTCAGCTAGTTGTAGGGTATTGTAACAGCATTGTCACCCTTCAGTATCATTCACTTATATTCCATTACATAAAACAGCAAGCCATCTTTGGGCCTAGGCATCGAACTGTGGACTGAGTTGCAGGAAGGAGCCCCTGGGTCCCCTAAACACCACTTGGGAGCCCCCCACGCATCCCCTACCCCCAAACAAAAAGAGATTTGGTAAGCAGGTAATTTTAAGGGGATAAGTATTTTATTCTTTATACCGAATGTAGCCTGCCCACACGGCAGAGTCTGGCAAACTCCCCGTGGCGTACCCAATATGCCAAATACCAGTAACAATGATGGGTCTCATTCTCCTAAAGAGCCTTGAATATAATCTCAGGGCTACGATGAAAGAGACATTACTGGGGCCTGCTCGAGGCAATCGACGAATAACAGGATGATTTGTGATTTGTGATTTGTGAAAACAGCAAGCCAGTGTAGTGTGTGTGTGTATATATATATATTTACACATACATATATGTTTTATAACTATATAATACAGTCTTGCAATGAATAATAGGATCTTAAGAATATTAGGATTGTTACAAAGATATTTAGAAATATTTGTGGATAGTGTTATTTTATATGGTCACATCACTGGGGTTCAGGGGACTGTGTAGTACCTGGAAAGCAAACTTATTTTTTCTTTTTTTGGGTCATACCTGGCAATGCTCAGGGGTTACTCCTGGCTCTGCACTCAGGAATCACTCCTGGCAGTGCTCAGGGGACCATATGGGATGCTGGGAATTGAACCCAGGTCATCCACGTGCAAGGCAAACGCCCTACCTGCTGTGCTATCACTCTAGCCCCGAAAACAAATTCTTTTGCATATACTTGTGCTCTAGCACTTGATCACTCGCTGCCCTTCATGGACAGTATTTTAAATATTGTATTATCATATTCCAACTTTATTATTTATTTGCAGTCTCATTTGTGCTCTGGGGGCCATGCAAGTAGTTAAGTAGTGCAGTACATGATAATACCATGGTTAGCGCAATTGCCATGCATGCGGCTGACCTGGGTTTTATCCCCGGCATCCTGACAAGACTAATTCCTAAGTTCAAAACCAGGAGTAAACCCTGAGTATCTCCAGGTACAGCCCAAAAAACAAAGAAAAAGAAAAAAAAAGTAGTTAAATAAAATTATTTTGAAGATCTAAAATAACTTTTCTTTCAGTCATTGAAGATACTCCGGAATTCAGACTTGAAACCATATATTATCTTCATTGCACCCCCTTCACAAGAAAGACTTCGGGCATTATTGGCAAAAGAGGGCAAGAATCCAAAGGTAAATTTACTTTGCTATTGTGCTATTTGATTGAAGATAACAAGAAACATGACCTTGAGCTTTCTTTTTTTGGGGTGAGGGGTGACACCTAGAGGTGCCTGAGCTGACTCCTAGCTCTGGGCTCAGGAATCACTGCTTGCAGGACTCAGGGATGTCAGAGATCCAACCTGGGTTGGTTGAGTGCAAGGCAAGCACCTTACCTGCTGTCCTGTGGCTCTGGCTCCAGTTTAAGCTTTCAAACCAACTGTCCTTTATATTATATTACTTTCCCCAAAGTCACATTGGTTGCCTCTGATTGGATTATGTTAACATTTATCATCATCATCCCTTAAAACTTCTTTTATTTTGGGGAGGGGAGGGCCAACATCGGGTTGTTCAAGACTTAACTCCTGGCTCTCAGCTCCTAATGGGAATTCACGGATATAGAACCAGGGGTCAAACTGTGTTGGCTGGATGCAAGGCAAGAGCCTTAATACCTGTACTATTTCTCAGCTCCCTCTTAAGACCTTCAGTCATCTTCACATAGGTCCAAGGTATTTCTAAAAAATATTTTCTGACTTTTCCGCAGGAAAAAAGTTCTAAGAAAATTCTTAGCGGTCACCACTTTTTCTTGGAGATATCTGTGGAGTGCCAAAATTTAATGCTCTTGTTTTTCTTTTTTTATTTTCCCCCAGTGAAAGTTTATATTCCTTCTCTATTTGGTTTCACTAGAAAAAATGAATGTGGTTGAGGTACTTTATATAATACTAGATACTATAGATACTGTGTCAATTTATTAATCAGAAGCATTTTTTATTTAAATGTATGAATTAACTGTTAAATGACGTTTTATCAGAATATGTTATTCCTTGTTTTTCTTAGTTTTACAGACAAATCAGTCAGATCTCATTTAATTTGCTAGTTAAGCCTCTGAATCCCCTTAAAAGGCTTAAAATATACTTAACTGTCCTTAAAAGCCCCTTGGGAGTAAATAAAGTATGGTCATACTCATTTCCATTCAATCTTAACTATTTACCAGAGTCACCCACACTCTTACATGTTCACCTCAGAAATCTTTTCCACTTTCTTCACTTTCATTTCCTTTGAAATTGTGGGGGCGGGCTATTGGGTTTTTAGATTGGGAAGTAGTTGGGGCTATATTTGATGGTGCTTGGAGATTCCCTCAGTCCATTGTTCAGGGGTTCCTTCTTCCAGTGCTCAGTGGATCTTGGCATTGCCAGGGATTAAGCCCTGGTTTCTATATGCAAACCATGCACTCCAGCACTTTATTTCCCTGACCCCTTTTTAATTTGGGGGGAGAGTGGGGAGGATACCCCCAAAAGCAGTGCCCAGAACTTAGAAGTCATACTCTTTGTTATCCAGGCAACCCAACAGTTCAGTGGTAGGGCCCACTGATGGCTGCTCTTTGGTTGAAGCAGTGCAGGAGGCCACCAGAGCTACAACTAATAATGGAGGGGTGGTGGAGGGCTGGTTATGAGATGCTAAGGATGGAACTCAGAACATAATGTGAGTCCCTGAGCTCTGAGTTATCTATATAAGGCCACACTGGGGAAGTTTGAGAGCCAGGATCAGCTCACTGCTGTTTCACCAATGCTCAGGGGCCACGAAGGCTGTACCCAGATATGCTGGGAGAGCGGGGTTTAGTCTCAGGGCCTCCCACTTGCAGAGCACATGCTTTATCGTGTTGAGCTCTCTCTCAGCCCCGTTGTCATTTTTAATGTTATCATTTGCTCTCAGAAAAATTTGAATTTAATGAAGTAATGCATTTTCATTTTTGTTTGGTACAGTAAGTAAAAATTTTATCTACTCTTATGATTGCAAAACTTTTCCTATGTTTTCTTCTAAAAAATGGTTCATTTTGACTTTTAGGCCACATTTGGTCTTTCCCAGCTGTGGTTGGGGTCCTATGTGGTACCAGGGATTAAACCTGGGTCTCCTGCACACCCGGCAATGCACAGGTGTTACTCCTGGCTCTTCACTCAGGAATTACTCCTGGCGGTGCTCAGGGGACCATTTGGGATGCTGGGAATCGAACCTGGGTTGGCCACGTGCAAGGCAAATGCCCTACCCATTGTGCTATCGCTCCAGCTCCATGATCCAGACTCTCAAGCTATCTCCCCAAGCTTAAAAAATTTTAACTTTTGCTCCTAGATCTGTGATATATCTCAAATTAGTCTTTGTTTTACTGTAAGCATAGAAATTATTTTCATTTGAACTACATTTTATTTGGTTTTAAACACGTGGCTATTCCATTGCTCTAAGTTCATACAAAAATTGTGGTTGACACAGCACCCAAAAGGAGAGAGAGAACAAAAGGGAATGCCCTGCCACAGAGGCAGGGTGGGGTGGGGGGATTGGGGTTGGGAGGGAAACTGGGATCAGTGGTAGTGGAAAATGGGCACTGGTGGAGAGATGGATACTCGATCATTGTATAATTGAAACCCAAGCACAAAACTTTGTAAGTTTACAACTATACCCCATGGTGCTTCACTAATAAAAATTTTTTCAAAAAATTGTGGTTGACAGTGGTGGATGGAAGTGGACACTGGTGGAAGGTGTGGTTTCAGAATGTTATATGCATGAAAACCTATCTATTGTAAATCATGGTGCTACAAATTAAATGTAATAAAAATTTTGAAGTGTGGTTGGTTCACATTTCTTTTCATGAAATGTGAATGTGGCCTGTCAATAAAGCATGCACTTTGCATGCTTGACATTCTGGGTTCAATCCCTGGCACCACAAAAATTAAATTTTCTCCCATTGAATTATATTGACAATGTTGTCAAAAATGAAACTGACTCTGGTTCAGGAAAACAGCTCAAAGGGGTGACTCGCATGCAGTGTCCTAGAGTTGATCTCTGGCATCACATCACACCACTAGGTGTGGCCCTGGTTGCCCCAGGACAGCTGGAAGACTTCACCAGAAAATAAACTGACCGAATATATTTATGTGGAGGCAGAGAAAGGAATTACTTTTGGATTTTGTTCTATATGCTAATAATACAGTTTCATGATAACTAGGTTTTTGTATGTCTTTTAAAATAGCCTACCAGGAGTGATCTCTGAACTCAGAGCCCAGAATAAGCCCTGAGTACCACCAGGTGTGGCCCAAAAACAAAACAAAAAAAAAGTAGTATAAGATTTTCATCAACAGGGGGAATTTAGAGAAAAAAAAATCTAAATATAACAGATAGTGAATATATAAATTTTTGTTTTTTATTTTATAAATCTGTTGTAGTCAGAAAACAGTAATATGTCAATCTTATGTAATTTGTTGAGCCTTTTATGGCCTATCTGTACTATCTTGATATATGATGCATGCACACAGGATGAATTCCACCGTTGATAGGTAGGAGATGTTGTATTTGATTGCCTTTTTTACTACACTTGTTTTATCTCATTATTTCCAGTAGTGCTTCATCTCTCACAAAATATAACTGAATAAAAATAAAGCCTTCATTGGGCTAGAAGGTAACTCTAGAGTATATGCTTTTATGGTGGAGCCCAGGTTTGATCCTTAGCACAATACTTTCCCCCCACCCCACTCCCCAGACATTGCCAGGGGTCAGTAGTACTTTCTGCATTATTATTGTATAGTGTACACAGAAACAAAATGAATAAATCCCTAATTTTAATCCTCTGAAATTATTCACTAGAATAAATGATGTTACTCTCTAAAAAAGTAAACATAATCAGTGGTCTGATTCTACTTTCTTTGAATTCCTCAATCTGTTCTGCTTGAGAGTAGTAATCTGATAGTATGAAGTAGTATGGTCAAATTTGCCTGTAGACTAATTTTATCAGTCAAATTTTTTTTTTTGTAGGAGTACTGCTATTTATTTAGCCACTGATTTGCTGATTGAATTGGGCATGAACTCCACCTTTTTTTTAATTTTTTATAAAGTAAAAGTAAAGTAAAGGCCCTCCCGTTGATCATCGATTTGCTCGAGCGGGCCCAGTAACGTCTCCATCTTTTTTATAATTTTATTTATTGAATCACCGTGAGAGCAGTTACAAAGCTTTTGGGTTTAAGTCTCCATCATACAATGAAACACCCGTCTTTTCACCAGTGTCCATTCTCCACTACCAAAAACCCCAGTTTGCCCCCATCCCAAACCCTCCCCCTACCTGTGGGGCAGATGATTTCCACATTACTCTCTCTCTACTTTGATCACATTCAATATTTTGATGCCCATATTATTATTTGGGATTTTACCCTAACACTCAGATCTGCTAAGAAAAGGCAACAGTAGACAATTTGTTTTCTATTGCTGGTTATGAATAACATATGATGTTCATGGCTGCTGTAGTGGCTGCGCAATTTTGAAATTCCGAGATTTTAAAACTTAAATCTGGAGGGATTTCTGCCAAAACCTGCTGGGTTCCAAGATTTGTTCCTGAGTCTATGGGATCATGGCTGTTAACCAGCTTGATCAGGAGTCAGAAAGGCCGTTCATGGGCGGCGACTCGGAGTCCTGTTGGGACGGGGAGGAAAGGGCCGGTTCCACCCCCATCCCGTGAGGCTCTGCGTGTCTTGTCACTGAGGGCCCAAACCTGACTGCTCAATGGCCTCTGGAGGATGGCGGCCACCAAGCTGCCTAGGGTGAGCAGGCAGAGGGACGACACCCTTTCCCCCCTAGGGTGGCCCAGCGATTGTAACCTACTGCAGGGTCTGGACGCATTTCTGCCAAAAGCCACTGGGTTCCGAGATTTGTTTCTGAGTCTCTGGGATCATGGCCGTTAAAGCAGCTTGATCAGGAGCCAGAGAGGCCATTTGTGGGCGGCAACTTGGGGTCTCATTGGAGTGGGAAGGGTCGGATCCACCCCCATCCCGTGAGGCCCTTCGTGTCTCATCACTGCAGGCCCAAACCTGATTGTCCAATGGTGTCTGGAGCATAGAAGCCACCGGGCCGCCAGGGGGAACCTATTCATGCCTATCGGCAGGAAACCTATTCCCACCTGGGGTGGCCCAGCGCCGGTAACCTACTGCAGGGACTGGACGCATTTCTGCCAAAAGCTGTTGGGTTTTCGAGATTTGTTTTTGAGTCTCTGGGATCATGGCTGTTAAGCAGTTCGATCAAGAAACCAAAGAGGCCTTGCCTCTAATTATATAGCTAAGCCAGAGGTGGTTTGTGGGTATGTTTCCCACATACCTAACTTTTGGCCGTTTACTTTCTTGATAAACTTTGCCCCAAGTTTTTGGGGTCTGGCCAAAGGCACAGCAGCAATTTTGGAGTATCTGGAAGTCTGAAGGCTCCATCACACTGCTGATGCACTTGCCTCACAGGTACAGACTGACCTGCTGGCGGTACCATATCCCCTCAGTCAAATTTTTTTAAATTTTGTTTTTTATTAAATCACTGAGATAGACCCTTACAAAGTTGTTCATGATTAGGTTTCAGTCATACAGTGTTCCAGCACCCATCCCTCAACCAGTGTACATTTCCCAGCACCAGTGTCACCAGTTTCCCTCTTATCACCCCACCTATCCCATCTCTATGACAGGTACCTTGTTTCTCTCTCTCTCTCTCTCTCTCTCTCTCTCTCTCTCTCTCACGCTCTCTCTCTCTCTCCTCTTTCTCCTCTCTCTCTCCCTACCCTCCCCTCTTTTTGAGCATAAAAATATATAGAAGATTAATATCAAAATTTTTTTCAGCAAAACATTTTAGAAACACAATATCACATAAACTATGTAATGTTTTAGCAAAAGATGAAATTAACAGTGACTTAAATTTGAAAAGAAAAATGTAGGTATACTGGACCTTTATGTGAGTATGTACCAAGGTACCAAGATATGGGGCTTAATATTCAACGTTCGCACCATAAAGATTAGATTCTGATTTGAATTCCATAATTTCTTTTGATACACTTACCCTTTCAGTAGTTTCAGCAAGAATATCAAAATCCATTCAGTTCCAGTGGTGTAGAAGAGCCCCTGCTAGGGAACAAAGAAATCTGTGTGCCTTAGCCAGATGCAGAACATTCCAGAATGAAAACTAGAGAGCGACACAAGAAACTGTCTCAGGACAAGACAGAACTATCACATTCTCAAGTTTTCCTATTACAAAAGTTCACACAGATGAATGGTATACATTGTTTTTTGATTTATGGGTCTAAATATAGTATTGATGTTTATCTTTTTAAATCTGAGACACTTGGGCTTTATTCTGTTCATTAATTGATGATTTTGGGACAGTTTTACTTTTTTGAATCTGTGTGCCAGATAATCAGCAAGTTCTAATATATTTTTCCCATAATTTTGCCTCCTGTTTGCTTGTGCAAGACAGCTGATCCTTTATCCATTATTTAAAAAATAGTTTGCCCAGTAGTTTCCAGAACTCTTATTGGATACTTTCCATCATCTTAATAAGCTTTGTATATTGAAAACACATTTAATTATTAAACTAGGGATGGAGAGAGAGCTCCACAGGCTAAGCACATGCAGAGCATACTTTTCATGCAGAATGACTAAATTCAGTTCCCATAACACCAATGGGAGCAAGCCCCTAGCACAGAGCCTAGACTAACCCCTGAGGACTGCCGGATGTGGTATCCCCCAAAATAAAATCATAATGTCTTACACTAAATATTTCAAACCAATAAAAAAAAAGTTAAAAACAACTTTAAGATTAAATTTTAGGTTAACCAACAATATTTTTATAGAAAAAAATATTGATCATTTTATTTTTCCATATTTAATCTGCCTTATTCTCATTTGATTTGTGAAGGGCCAGGGCACTTTAGAGGAACCCTACATACTTTGGGTCCTGTTCCCCTTATTCCAACCAGAGAGGTCCACTCTTTATGTTTCAGATGATGTTATATTTAGGAATAAATGTCTGCTCTTTGAGCCTCCAGTCTAGTAGTTGAGATAAAAGTATATGAAAATTGTAACATATAAGTTCCAAATGGTTCAGTGAGTCTTACAGTTTCTAAAACAGAGGAAATCACAGATCTTTGCTGTAGTGTTGGAGGAGCTCCTAAAGCTATTTTCAGAAAGGAAAGATGTTTTTAAATGTCATTTCTTGGGCTGGAATGATAGCACAGTGGGTAGGGAATTTCCCTTGCATGCAGCCAACCCGGATTCAATTCCCAGCATCCTGTATGGTCCCCCGAGTACCGCCAGGAGTAATTCCTGAGTGAATGAGCCAGGAGTAACCCCTGTGCAATGCTGGGTGTAACAAAAAGCAAATAAATAAATATCATTTCTTAGTTAATGCGCTGACCTTCCGTTGTTCATGGATTTGCTAGAGTAACATGAGACTTGTTACTGTTTTTGGCATATCCAATATCTCACAGGGAGCTTGCCAGGCTCTGCCATGCGGGCGAGATACTCTCGGTAGCTTGGCGGGCTCTCCGAAAGGGATGGAGGAATCGAACCCGGGCAGGTCGACTGCATGCAAGGCAAATGCCCTACCTGCTGTCCTCCAGCCCCAGGTTCAATTCCTCTGAATCGATGAAAGGGAGGACAGTGCTACAGTGCATTTCTTAGTGCCTTCAGCCATCTCTGATTTATTCATATAAGTTTTTAACCTCTTTACAGCCTGAAGAATTAAGAGACATCATTGAGAAGACTAGAGAAATGGAGCAGAACAATGGCCACTACTTTGACACAGCAATTGTGAATTCAGATCTTGATAAAGCCTATCAGGAATTGCTTAGGTTAATCAACAAACTTGATACTGAACCTCAGTGGGTGCCTTCCACTTGGCTACGATGAAGGAAACATCTATGTATGGCATATTTGGACTTGACCTGACGAACTGCCAATGAGAAGGTAGTCCTGATGCTTCAGCAAGACTCTGAGGACAAGGTGGCAGGCAGGATAAGCTGTAGACCTGTTCTTAGATCTCTTAACTAGTAAGCAGGCCCCTTAGGCAATTTGTGCACAGTAGTCTTTGTTCTCTGTGCATAGCTTTAACTGTTCTGCCTTGTTTGGTGGGTTCTAAAAGGAAGCTTTCAACAGCAGTTCCATTTTATCTATTTAAAGCCTTTCTCATTGTTTTTTACAAACTCTTCTGCTAAGTAGTATTTACTTTTAAAAAAACATTTATGCACACAACTGTGCCTATCTTACATAGTTACAAACATTATTTGAATGGTTAAATTACTTCATGGAAATCTGGGAATATGTGTTGTGCTTCTTTGCACAGGTTGAGTCAGTATTTGGTTAGAACGGTAGTCTTCAACTACCCTCAGAAAGGTGCCAGTCTGCAAGTGTTGGAAGGTTGAAAACCACTAGACCTTTGGTTAGAACTGTCAGTCCTTGGATTGGTTTGCAGGACAGGTACTGGTCTGCAGGGATAAAAAGGTTGAAGAAAGCTGAGTTAGAAGACTAGTGTAAGTCCTCAAAAATACTTCCCTATGAAACAAACAAAAAAATCTGGTCCCACTTTGGCTTGGAGTAACTATGATAGGCTTAAATTCACTTGTGTGTCTTTTAATTTTTTAAAAAGCATTCCATTAGAAGTATGAGTTTTTTTAGCTCAAACTTCGTGAATAAACTATACATTCACTGTATGTTTAGCAGACTCTGATCTAGTTAAATATATACTGCAAATGCTTATCTTTTTTAAAGATAGGGTTTTCTGAATGCTTTTCTTAAATTATAATCATGCTTCCTTTCACTGATCTGCACAGTATAATAGAATATGTAACTTACATTTTTATGAATGACAGATGTTCATAATACAAGATCTTTACTATTGAAGTTTCTTCCTCATGATATAGAGGTTTTATATATATATATGAAAGGAGAGCACATTTGATGGTTTTTGCATTTTTATAAATGAAGAGTAGTATTTGATTACTGCTATAAATATAGGTAACAAACTGGAGTTTTGTGAATATAGCTGCTGTATTTGTATACTAATATTTAAAGATGAATAACTGGTCATTGATAAGACTTGTTCAACATTGGAATAAAATTACCTGCATTCTAGGGAAATACTGTGAACAATTGCCTTTGAGATCGGAAGGAAACGGTGACCTAAAAGTCATTTGGACATTTTAGGAAAAGAACTTTGGGGGGTAAAGATAGCAAGAGTAGAAGATGTAAGTAAGAAACAGGTTTTTATTCTAGTAAGGTCTGTTTATGACCAGAATACAACAAATAAGTCATAAATGTTTATGCTACCACTAGCTTAAAGTTTTGTACTGTCAACAGCTGTAGATTTAAAATTCAACTTCTGTAATTAGTGTGAAAAGTTTAGTCTTTCATGGTATGGTATGTGACAAATGACCTCAATGTGAATGTCTTAATTTTATTTTTATTACTTTAGCTACAGCATTTCCTGTTCCCAGAGCTAAACACTGGAATAATACTAAGATGTCACTTAACATAGCAGTTGTTTTTAACAGCTTTTCTTTCAGTGTTGTGTATTTTTGATTTTTCTTCTACATAATTTTATATGAACAAATGTAAACAGTTTTATGTTGCCCTTTCTGTTCAAATTTACTTGACCTCAGAGTTGACTAAAGAGTCTCTTACATAAAATTTTTAAGCTAATGTTTCTTAGGAAGACAGTTAACATTTCTAGATTAAGAAAAGGAATGCTATATTATCTCTTTGGGTCTGAAACACTCCAGCTTACAGCAAGAAAATGACATGGTGAAACCATTTTCAACAGTGAAAAACAAGGAATATGTAAGCACTTAATCTTTTCAATTTTTCAGTTTACAGTCTTCTTGGGAATGAAAAGTAGTTTTATGAAATCAGTCAACAGTAGTTTTGTGAAATTCTTATATTAACTGACAGCTGTTTTTTATTATCCCTAAGATTTAAAACGTTTAAATTTTAAAACTGTTTAAGTTAGACTGAGATTTCAGTTAGTGACAATGATTCTGTGCTAACCCCATGATTATGTGCAGACATTAGGGCCATAGGCTATCAAGAAAACTTCTACAAGCAGACTCTTATCAAGGCACATGTCATATATATTCTTAAGCCCAAGGTGATGAGGTATTTTATCAGACTCAAAAGTTCTCTTCTTCCTCATCAATGCTTGATCTTTCGTTTGTGTACCAAACTTTTCTTAATCGTAGACAAATGGCTGTGCTGATATTTAAGTTTCTAAACAAAGTGAAAACTGATTTGCCAACTTCCTTGAAAGAAAATGAGGGAAAAGCTTTGCAATACTTATGTCTGACCACGTGACCAGTTCCATTTCCTGTCCCTCTGTGGTTCTGATTAGAGGCCCCACTGTGGTAAACTTAATCCACTTATATGAATAATGCCAGTATATAATAAATGCACATGGAAGTATCTTCCTTTACTCAATTTTCCTAAGTCAGAACACACAGCAAGTAGTAATGTTTAGACTAACACAGATTTGCTTTCTATGAAAATCTGATATTTTGATTTCCATACCTGAACCCTTTCTCCATGGCCTAAAGAATAAGTATTGATAAATAATTTGAATGTAACTTTGTGAATGTGTGTAGAAAATATAAACCAGGGATTCAGCCTTAATAAAGGTAACTTTTCTGATATCTATTATTAGCCCTCTATACTTTTCTTAACCTGTATCTGCACTCTTAGTATTTGAGATGTCATACTGCACACTGTATTATAAAAATGAAAAGTAAAACTATTTCAAAATTTAAAGAGTATGCTCTCTTGATGTGTTTCAAGTCATCTACCATTCTAAGTTTCAACACATTTTAAAGACCACCACTCTCAGGTTTTGCCAGAAACAAATATATTGGACCCTCTGGGTCAAACATGAAATAGTTAGCAGATGTTTCTCCTGTTTCCTTTTTAGAAAACTATTAAAGGCAAACATCTTATGGCTATGAATGTACCCATTTCTTAAACTCAGCCTGGGATGTGAGGAAACTGCAGGTAAGATGTGAAGTTAACATCTCACTTCTTTGTTCTTTATTTTTCCCCTCTGATGCCACTCTTTCAAAGGAGGGAAATCATCCACAAGTTTTACACCTATATATATGTGCTCTCCCAGTCCAGTTTTTATTCTATTACTAACTTACCCCTTTTCTCATGGAACAAATGACCATAAGACCATATAACTACCTGTCCCCTCATTTCTCCAAATCTAAAAATAGGTTAAATCCTTTGTACTTTTGTTTGGAGCTGGAGCGACAGCACAACAGGTAGGGCGTTTGACTTGCACGCGGCCAACCCGGGTTTGATTCCTCTGTCCCTTTCAGAGAGTCCGGCAAGCTACTGAGAGTATCCCGCCCACACAGCAGAGCCTGGCAAGCTACCTATGACATATTCGATATACCATAAACAGTAACAGGTCTCACAATGGAGACGATATTGGTGCCTCCTCAAGCAAATTGATGAACAACGGGAGGACAGTGCTACAGTGCTACTTTTGTTTGGAGTTTATCGAAGGCCAGTAAATACTAGGGCAACAAGAGTCAGTAGGACTGAGTAGACCATTAGCTCAGAGGCCAACTATGCATGCTTTGCAGCCACTCATGAAAATAGTCCCAGAGTAATCTGGCTCCTTACCCCATTTTAGGATTGATTTTTGTCACTTGTACTGCTCAAGAGCCAAAACAAATCTTCAGTTTTTTCTTGCTAATTAGGGGTTTGGGTTTGGGGTCCACATCTCGCAGTGCACAAAGCTTACTCCTGGCTCTGCACTCAGGGATCATTCCTGGCAGGGCTCAAATTCAAGTACCCTGCCTGCTGTACTATCTCCAAAAATTCAGTATTCTTATCTGCAAAATAAAAATGATTTAACCCTTAGCAGGGGGTTGTGAGGATTAAACAGTGATGTTACCTATTTCGTTCAAAAGACTTAGAAATTCAGCTATCTACTGTTGCATATACATTGAATCTCAGACTTTATTATCACTTATCACTTAATCCCCGTTATTCATCGATTTATTCGAGCGGGTGCCAGTAACGTCTCCATTCATCCCGGTTGCGTGCTAGCGTAGCCCAATGGTATCTGTTCGTTCTAGGAACATGCAGAGCCTCAAACCGATCATTTAGGGTCTTGACGAAGAAGTCTGACCATCTTATAGGTGGGCGTCCACGTGATCTTTTGATGTCCAGTGGAATCCAATCAGTAATGGCTCTAGTCCAGCGGTTGTCTATAAACCTCATTACGTGTCCAGCCCATCTGATTTTTGATGTCTTGGCAAATGAGACAGCGTCCCTGATTCTTGAGCATTGACGAAGATCAGAACTCCGGATTCTATCTCTCATTTGAGTGAATCGTGATATTCCAAGCATAGTTCTTTCGATTCCTCTTTGAGAGACCCGAATAGCGTTCTCATCCTGTTTTCGTAGGGTCCAGGTCTCTGAGGCATATGTTAATGTAGGAAGAATAGTGGAATCAAAGAGATGTGCTTGTAGCTGGAGGTTCTTTGTCCTCTTAGTTATTTCTTCAATGCTCTTGAAGGCATTCCAAGCCGCTCTCTTCCTCCTGCGCAACTCGGGTGCCAGGTCATTCATCATGTTGATTTCTCGACCTAGGTATATATAACTGTTGCATTCGGAGATGGTGGTTCCGTTGAGAGCGAATGGAGCGTCAGGAACAAGGCTGTTTCTCATAAACATTGTCTTCGTAAGATTCAGCTGTAGTCCGACCTTTCCATATTCACGGTCAAAGTCGTTCAGCATTTGTGCCGCTTGGCTGATGTTTGGTGTTATTAGAACGATGTCATCAGCAAAGCGGAGGTGGTGTAGTTGTCGACCATCTATCTTCACTCCCATGTTTTCCCATTCCAGTCGTCGCATGATGTTCTCGAGGGTGGCACTGAAGAGTTTTGGTGAAATGGTATCACCCTGCTGAACCCCTCTCTTGATATGGATGATTACTTCTTTGTAGAATGGTGAGATTTTGGTAGTGAATCCGTAATAGAGCTCACGAAGGATCCTGATGTATTGAGTTTGTACGCCCTGATTGGCTAGGGCTTCCATGACCGCTTCCGTCTCAACAGAATCAAAGGCCTTCTTTAAATCAATGAACGTTAGACAGAGCGGCATCTTGAACTCCTGACATACCTCAATGAGCTTGGTTATTGTGTGGATATGGTCGATGGTACTGAATCCTTTTCGGAATCCGGCTTGTTCACATAGTTGTCCTTCATCTAGTGTTCTGCTAATCCTATTCAGGATGACTCGAGTGAATAGTTTGTAGATGACAGACAATAGGCAGATTGGGCGATAGTTGCCAATGTCGTGGATGTCTCCTTTCTTGTATAGTAGTACAGTCCTGCTGGTTTTCCATTGGGATGGAACCTTGCATTCAGACAGGTAGCGTGTGAAGAGTCGAGCCAATGTATTGACGAGTACTGATGGTAAGTTCTTCAGGTGTTCAGGTCTGATCTTGTCTGGGCCAGGTGCTCTTTGTTTCTTTACCGACGAGATGGCATGTTGGATTTCGGAAGGGAGAACATTGGGAACAACATATCCATCATGTGGTATGTGGTATGTGGGCAAGTGGATGTGGCTATTAAAGAGATCTGAGTAGAAGTCATGAATAATCTTCTCCATTGCCCATCTGGAAGATGTGATAGATCCATCATGATGTCGGAGGGCAGTCATCTTGGTTTTGTAGTTGGTGAAGGACAGGCGGGCATTACGAATGTTTTTCCCAGCTTCTGCTGCATCTACCAGTACTGCTGCTCTCCTGTTTTTGAGGTCATCCTTGATGGCTTCTCTGCACTGTTTTGCCAGTTCGGATGTTCGCTTGTGGTTGCCTGAGGCATGTGCCAAGCCACGTTGGCGAATAAGTTCAAGAGTGTTCGAAGAAAGACGGTTTTTTTGTGGTTATCTCTCTCTTGGCATTCCTTGCACAATCATGGAGGTGCTGAATCATTCTATCGTATTCCTCATCAATGTTGTCAATGACGGCATCTTCCCATGTTGCCGCAATAGAGCCAAAGAGCTCCCAGTTGGTGGTTGTTCTGGGAGTCCTCTTCTTAAACCTTGCATTCTTTTCTCCTCGTTCTGTGAAGTAGAATTTTGCACGAAGAAGACGGTGGTCTGATCCCGTTTGGAATTTTGGGACAACAGCAACATCGGTTAGGTAAAACCGCCGATTGAATATGATGTGGTCTATTTCATTGTGGAACCGTCCATCGGGAGACTCCCATGTCCAACGTTTAGATTCAGCCTTTTGGAATTGTGAGTTACCATGGAAGGTTTTGGTTGACATGATGAACTCAGACAGTTCTGTCACCCTGTTCGTTCCATTCCAGGCCATGGGTTCCGAGGTGGAGTTCATCGACTGATCTTCTTGGTCCTATCTTGGCATTAAAATCACCGACAATGATCTTGTAGAAGGTGTGATCTTCTTTATAGAACTTCTCCAGCTCCATGTAGAATTTCTCAGTTTCTCTTTCACCATAACTGGATGTTGGTGCATAGACAACAAAGATAGAAACTGCCGGTAGTGAGCCACATTTATTCAAGTGTAATCGTCCGATTCGGGTTGTTAGGCATTCGAATGAATCAATGCTCGTGACTAAGTTTGTGTTGACAAGGATACCAACACCACCGACGCCTCTTTTATCACATGTTCCAAGGAACAGTTCTTCTCCAGTGTCGAAAACAGCATGATGGGATTGATGTCTTCTCGTTTCGGTCAGACCAATGATGTACTTGATCTTTCGCGCTTGTACCATAAGGTCTTCAATGGATGCAGAAGATGCCAGCGTACGAGCATTAAAAGTACAGACAATCATTTTTGTTTTTCTGAGTTTTGGCAGCCTATGTCTGCCTTGGTGTTTTATCAGCCTCTCCTTCCATATCCTTCTCGACTCTATTATGTGTGCAGCAATAGTATTTCCTAGAAAGTCACCTGCAGGAGAGGCCCTGTGTGTTAACCTTTACACAAAGTTTTAAATATTGAGGAAATAATAATAGAAGAGTATGAAATCTGAAGGTTATGAACAAGAACTAAATTGCATGCAGGAGGCCCAGGTTTTATCCCAAGCACTGTCTGATCACCCCTAGCACTGACAGATGTGGACAAATATTAAGAAAAAAAATTAAAATGACTAAAAGGGACATGATAGTACAGGGCATAAGGCATCAGTCTGACCCAGTTCAATCCCTGTTAGTTTATACGGTGGCTTACATGGCTGGGAATGGCTGAACACTTGTTGGGTCTGACCTCCCCTCCCATCCCCCACGTATCAACCAACCAATCTTTTTTTTTTTTTTAACCAACCAATCTTATATACAACACTCTGTTCTTTACCTAGGGTTAATCTCAAGCTCTTATGTCTTAATTTTCCTTTTTTAAATGTGGGAGATCACACACACACACACACACACACACGTATATATTAGGGTTATTATGATAACGTAAATCAGACAGTACCTAAAATATAACAAGTTCTATTATTTTCTAGCAGCTATTAAATATTAGTACTCTAAAAAGCCTAGGCTGTGAGAGCATTTGATTTAATATAAGGCTAATAAAATTACTGTCCCAAGGACAGCAATAGCACAGCAAGTAGGGCGTTTGCCTTGCATACAACCAACCCAGGTTCGATTCCTAGCATCCAATATGGTCCCCTGGAACACTGCCAGCTATGGCCCAAAAAAAAAAAAAAAAAACACCTGTCCCATGTCCAATTATTCAAAAGAGCCTGGAAATGGATACAAAAAGCCTAAGTAGCAGTGTCTGGTATACCTAAAAACCTCAGTCACCTGGTCTGGCAACTCACATGTCTCACCTTCCCAGAGACAGGACTGCAAGTTAGTAGTAATGTAACAATAAAATGTTACCATTCAAACAGAAACTAGTTTTTCTTAGCTTGAGAAAGAAGTATTAATAAACCACAATTCATTTGCGATAATAATTTATTATCCCCAAATTTAATAATCAGTAAGTAGAACACTGACAAGAAGGAAGAAAGAGAGGCTACTCACTTCCTATATATGTGCAGAGGCTCTTCATGAATTACAATCCAATGTGCTGATTAGAGCATAAGAACATCTCACTAGTAAATTAATAATAGATCACTTGTTCTAAAATTATTTTACTGTTCCACAGTCACATTGAAATTGACAAAATTCTCATGACAGACCTGACAAATCTATCATGCAAGAAAATAAAGTGAAGGTTTTCATACAGCTTGAGGCGAAAAGGATCTCGTAACACAAGGATAGCTGCAGCTCTCATGACAGCTGCACCAAGGTTTGCAACTGTGGGAACAAAGGATGCTCCAAAAGTAGTTGGCCTAAGACCACTGCTGTTTCCTAAGGGCTGTTTTCTAATGTGCTTGGTAAGCAGATCACTTGTAATACACAGAAATGGAATGAAGAGACACTTCGTAAAGTGCAGACACTTGTACAAGTTCCTGGATCCCACCTGTGATAAATGGTGGTTGAAATGGTTCCACAAAGTAATCCCATAAATGAATATTCAGGGAAATTTTACAACCAGTGAAATTCTTAGGCCAAAACATAAATAGCCACACATACCAAACCAACACACCATGGATTTAAATGGTGCCGTGTTAGGATTTCTGGAAGAATCAGAATAGGAACAATTATTCAAAGAGGAGATCCTCATCTTTCTCCTCTACCAGAAGATTAGCAGGCTCCACCATGACCTCTCCAGCTGCCCTTCGCTGCTCCAAATCCTTCTCAGTTTTTTCCTTGAGAACCTTCTTCTTCTCCTGTATTTTCTTTAGCCTGTAAAAATGGAGGAATTTTTTTTTTTTTGAAAACTTTCAGTACTAAGTACATTTGATTTATCTGAATGTTACCAAATAACACCTGCAAACTAGGAACAAACTAATTTCAATTCTTGTAATTTATATGCATTTTTTTAAAAGATTGAGAGACAAGAGAAAAATTCAAATTGCTGGAGTGCATACTTTGCCTGGGAGAGGCCCCGGTTCAAACAATGGCACTACCCCTTAACACTACGAGGTGTAGCCCAAGAACCAATTTTAAAAACGCTTGAGGGTGTGTGTTGTGTGTGTGTCCATGAACATCACTGACAGTCAAAAATACCTGAGATAAGATTATAAATTACACTTAGATCCTACTCAGGGTCTAAGATGGACATGTCTTCCCTGATAGTTCTGCTTTTTCTTGTCTCTACTTCTTCCAGAACAGACTCCTCTACAATAGCTACTGAGTTCTGGTCCCTCCTATATCTAAATATTCATAATCAATTCATGTACATGCATCATTTCTCTCCAAATACAATAATAATTCTCTAATGGTATGATTTATACTGTTATAATTGCTCTCAAGTACAGTAAACATGCAGTACTTCTTAAATGATTAACTGCAGTTTCTTTTTATTTGAGAGACACCGAATCTAAATCACTGTTTCATTTTAAAGAATAACCAAGTATAATAATAGTTTCTCTAGGATCTATTTTTTTTAGATGCAGTATTTCAGGTACATGCAGAACCTGGCATAGATTTATCTCTACAGCCTTTAGCAATACTATTTCTTGTATCTTATCAATAAAACATAATTGATAACTCCAAAATTCCTAAATCAACAAGTGTTAGAAAACAATTTTTATAATATGGAAACAAAAATAATCAATTATTGATAATTTCAACAAACCTATAGAATTCTTCTCGTTCTCTCTCATCCAGCTCTGTGATGATATAAGCAAGGGTACGTTCAATCCGAGGAATGATAACTAGGTTTAAAAATATTCAGGTAAGAACTTGAAATCTTGACATTCTGACCCCGCACCTGGCTGTCTTTACTGGGGGCAACTCAGGGGGGTGCGGGTTAAATTTCCCTCCCTGCCCCACCAGAACCCCAGCAACGGAAAAACCTCCAGAACCCAACCGCACAGCCATGCTCAAGGCCGCTCTTCACAGGCTCGGAATGAGCCTCACCTATGAGGGGACCTGCACAAAAACCCAGGTACGTGGGACCCGTGACTGAGATCTCCAATCTCGCTCGGAGGACTGGGCCTCCTCCCCCTAACTCCCTAGTTTTCCAGTAGCTTGGCAGTCACACCCACAAACTGCCTCCGTTAATAACCTCATTAACGGCCATGATCTAGATACCCTGAAATAAAGCTTCCAGAAGAGAATGCTGTAGATTGTCCTGGAGTGCACACAATCTCTTATACTCTAGCCCCCAGTAAAGACAGTACATGAGTAGGGCACCTGCCTTGCACATGGCTAACTCAGGTTCAATTCTCAGCACTTCATATGGTCCCCGAGCCCTGTCAGGAGTGATTCCTAAGCACAGACCCATCAGTATGCCCTAAGCTTGCTGAGGGTGACCCAAAAACCAAGAAAAAAATTTAATTAAAAAAGTAAGTGGTGTACTGAGCAGAGAGAATGCAGTATGTTAAATTCTACGGCAGTTGGGGCCAAAGAGATAGTACAGGGGGTAAGGGACCTGCATGTGGCCAATCCAGGTGTGATCACCACACACCAGGGGTCCCTGAGCCTTCCAGGAGTGATCCCGGAGCACAGGCAAGGATCAGTAAATTATGTAATAAATAAAATTAAAAAATGTACATCTTAAACAAATGGAAAGCCCTAAACACTGCCAAGTGACGCCAAATAAATTTTACAGCAGCTAGACTGTTTTAGTTTGTATAGAATCGGCCTATTTTGCATCTAGAATATAAACCCCTTGAGTGTTAGAACCTTATAGATTTGTTTGATTCTATGTACAGATCTTGTACTAAGCAAGCAGTCAGGATGTGTTATGAGTTTTTCAAAAATAACTTCCCATTAATACAGGACCAAACAAAATAATTTCTTTGCTATTCAAATCTTGCTTTTTTCCTTAATTTGAATGTTGCTTTAAACTGTTTCTTTAGCAATCTAATTTTTTAAGACTGAAAATAAGTATATCAAGTAAAACACTACTTTTTAGAAGTCAAGAATAACACAAGTTTCGGCACAAAGTCTAAGGAAGAGAGGGCTTACAAATATGATTTAATGACATAAAACTAGTGTTTGGGGGGAAAAAAGTAAAGAAAACACTAGTAGCACTCTTAAAAAAATGGTTTCCACTGTTTAGTCACAAATGAAAAAATAGTGGGGAAAAACAATTCTTTAAGTCACCCCTCTCTTTGGTAAACCCACCCCAAATCATACACATACCTACTGTCAAAACTCTTCTGTGAAACCCAGCTCAGACTAACTTGCTGTCCTCGTTCCAGCAAGAACATGATTTTCACTATGCAGCCAGGCCCCAGTTCCTGCAGCTGAGGAACGAATGTAAAGGCACAGACAAGGAGCCAAACACTCACCATGTTCAATGGCATTTACACGCCTGTTGGTTATCTTAATAGCTTCATCCAAAGTAACAAAGGAAGTCTAAAATAAAAGAACAAATTAATGATGCAAGCTGAAAGTCTTTCTAATAATGTACTGTTCACTTGATGTAAAGTACATCTGAAGCCCAAGACTACCACTATTCAATGTGTTTCAAAGTCAGAATTTTGTGAGACTGCCATAGAGCTAACACTTTCTATGCTGTTGTAATCTACATGGAATTAAAAATATGCTGCAATTTACCTAAATAAAATTATAAAATTCAAAAGGAGAAAATTGTGCATTAATCACCTAGATATATATGTTTTAGGCAGAAAGGGAAAACAATAAGCCAGGATCATGCTTATATAAGCCATATTTACATTTAAATCCCAGCAGAGTCTGGCAGACTCCCCGTGGCATATTCGATATGCCAAAACTCAGTAACAATGATGGGTCTCATTCCCCTGACCCTGAAAGAGCCTCGAATGTGGCACTTTCTAAAATCTCAGGGCTAGGACGAAGGAGATGTTACTGGTGTCTCATCGAGGAAATCGATGAACAACAGGATGACAGTGATACAGTGATACATTTAAATCTAGTCTGATCTGTTTCTGCTCTCACCTAGCATAGACGAAAACAGTACTACTAAAAAATATTCTGTTAGTAATAAAAGCAAGAACAATGTACACAACCCAAACTTCAGAAACAAGAACATCTTTAGCTCATTTCACACAGGTTCATGAAAACAAGTGAATGTACTAAGTAGAGCATGCTCAGAGGGAAGATCTCCAGTTCTTCTGCTACCTACCTGCAATGAAGCCAGTTCTACCAGAAGTTCCACTGCTTTGGCATAGTTTCTTTTTAATTTCGCCAACTGCTCCCCACCTCTGGCTAAACCCGTCAGTTCATAGCCTGAAAGAACCAGTCAAACAACAATTGTGATTAGAGAGGAAATGGGCTTTTCCTTCAAGTTCCTGAAAAGATAAGTCAAAATAATCGCAAGTATGAAAAAACAATGCACAAACCCTTGTTACATGCAACACAAAGTGCCTATCTTATTCCTCAAACAGGACATGCTGCTGAAGACATTCCGGGATACTATTTTAAATATAAGCAGATAAGTTTTAACCAACTTCCATCTCACCAACTGGCTGAATGAACTAAATGTACACCCTTCCTTTTGTAGCTCATCTTTCGTCATGATCATACGAGAGTGAGTCACTCTACTCTGCTGATTCTCTGCTACTTCCTTATACCGCCGTATTCCTCTAAGTGGTCCAGTAAAAGATGAATACCAAAAAAACCCAATTTTGTTTCTATGGGAAAAAAAGCTGATCACTCAGGAAAAACTCAATAAAGATGTGCTACTGCCCCCAATTACTATCAAATTAAGAAAATTTACCATAAACTACTGTAAACAGAATATATAAATTTAGGAAGGGCCAGGCAGATAGTGCAAAGAGCAGGAGGGAATGCTTTGCATGCAGGAGCACTGGGTTCATGGTTCCAAGCACCACTGGATTTGAGATACCCCCACCATCCCCCTAAAAATCTGGAAAGATTCAGCATTCAGACTGCATCACAGCACACAAAGAGATCCAAACTGGAAATTATAAACTATATATTACGGGTGCATTTTATGTAAAAAGACACAGAGAAGTCAAAATAGTGATTCATACTGGCAAGACTGCACATATTCCTATCTCTAGGTTGAAATAAAATATTTAAAGATATGTATAAGATCCTGTTACTTTCTGTCATAACACCTCTGATTAACTGTTGTCTGAATTGTAGCAGATAAAAAAGCCTCTCACATCGAAACCACTGAACTCAACAAAGGCTTATTGAACACCATTTTCTAACTAAGGTTCATTTAAAAAGAAATAAGATTACAGAAATACACCAGCATTGTTTCATACTTACTGTCAGTTCCTTCGTGGTAATGTTCAAATACGGGCAAAGTAACACCTGTTAAATACAGAAACAAAACTGGGTTCACAAGCTTGTCCTTAAGTATGGGTCCTCAAAAAAGGATTCCTGCGTGTCTGTTCTAAAAAAGACTCAAAAGTCAAGACTTTTGGAATTGTACCCAGTTCCAATGAAATAATTTAGAAAAAATGTTTAAGTGTTTGTTCCTATTTAAAAGTCAAATTATACTGTATTAAATTTATAAATGGTTGTTAAAAATTTTCTTCTTTCAGCTTCGATAAGGTACTTAATACAAAAATTGCTCACATTTAATGTATGGATTTTGAAGATCTGAGACATACAAATAAACTGGTATCACCACAATCAATATTATAAACATACTCATCAACTCTAAAAGAGTTGAGCCCCCTTTCCTTTTTGTGTGTGCACGTTAAGAATACTTAATATGAGGGAATGGAGAGAGAGCTCATGGGCTGAGCCCATACTCTGCATGCAGTAAGCCTGAGTTCAATCCTGGGCACTGCATGGTCCCCAGAGCACAGCGAGAAGCAAAAGCCCCCAAGCACTGCTGGGTATGGCCCTAAGACAAAAATAAAAAAAAATTATACTTTACATGAGATCTACTCCTCCTCACATTTTAAGTGTACAATAATGTTATTTTAACTGTGGGCACTGTTGTACAGCCAATCTATAGAAGGGCATTCATACTATAAGACTAACTTCATATTGAACAAACAACTTTCCTCTCCCTTCCCCCCATCACCTGGCAATCACATTATATATAGTTTAACATGCAAAGTGAATTACTAGCTCTCAGTAGAAGAGAAAATGAGACATCAAAACCTTGCTGAATGAAAAATGTGTGAATATCAGAGTCAGGTAAGAGTGCAAAGCCCAGTCACTGCAACAAAAACAACAGGTAGAGAGAAAATAAAATCTTGGCACTACATAATACACGGGTTAAAGTGCTTGCCTTGCATGCAGATGACCCCAGTTTGATCTCTGGCAATTAAAAAAATGGGTCTCCTGGGCACCACAATGTCTGGCCCCATACCCACAAATAATAAATGTCACTAAAACAACAACAACAACAAACTAGCAGTAAACAAACAAGTTTGCTGTATAGACAAGTTTTAAATTCCATTTTTCCCCCCTAAGGGTTGTAAAGAATTGAAAAAAATCACCTGCTACATTATCCTTCTTTGCTCGAATCTTCACCTGGGCTTTGTTTACATTTTGGATAACAGTAGTGCTGCAGAAAAAGAAAGTCTTTATTTGAATTTTGGGGGTAAGAAATGTATCTGAAAGAATTCACTAGGCAATAACAACAATAGGATGTCACAAGTAGGTTTTGATCATTCTTTTTCCAAAAATGAAAAAAATCACAGCTGTCAGAGGAGGGCCTCAATGAGCAAAGAATGAACACTGGCGTAGGAAAATATCAGACTGATGATGTTAAAATACCAGTGCTGACCAATGCTGAATTTGCTGTCTGATGTGGTACAAGGCATTTTTATTCTGTTAAAGCAACACGGAGAAAATGGTCCTTCTAGGTTTGCTATTAACTGGTTAAGTACTTGGTCAGTTCCTTTACTCAGAACCTCTGTAACTTCCATTTATGACTGGCCTATCACTAACAAAGTATTTTTCCCATAACTATTCTGAAACATACTGACTGCCTCTGGCACACTATTCATTTCCCTCTATTCTGGAAAAGTGAAAGCAATTTGTTATCCCAAAGTCTGTTACCTTCTAAGAGCCCAGGCCCCTCAGGCTGTAAGACGTGTAAACAAGACAATTCTATTAGAAATAAGCTCAGAAGAAAAAGGCACTCTATAGCAAGGTAACTACAGTTAATAAAATGCTGTGTGGCTTATTTGAAAGTGACTAACAGAGGGCTGGAGAAAGAGCTCAATGAACTGAGCACTGTGGGAGGCCTAGATTAGGTCCCTGGCACCACAGAGTCCCCCACCACCACCAGGAACAACCCTCAAGCACAGAACCAGCAATAGCAACCAAGCACTGTTGGGTGTGGCCTGGCCCCAAAAATGAAACAGTCACTAAGTACATATTGTGAGTTCTCAAAAAAAAAAAGAAACAGTTTTTTTAAGTATCTCTCTAGTAGAGACACTAGATTTAGTGGCCACCATTTCACCAAATGCAAACATATTTACACTGTAACTAATAAGTTACATATCAACTACATACCAATATAAAAGAAAATAAAAGAGCTACTGCATCATCTGATTAAGACTGTAATTGGGGCCCAGGAGATAGGGCAGTAGACAGAGGTACTCTGCATGCACAACACCCTAAGATTGATCACCAAACACTGCATGCCCAGCTCAGCCATGGTGGCAATACCAGGTGTAACCCCGGTTACCCCAAGCATCTCTGGGTATAGTGCTAGTGACTCCCAGCAAAGCCAGGATGAGCAACACTGCACAGCCTGAGCCCAGTTAGCCAAGTATCACCCCAGTGGTCCCCAGGACTCCTAAGCATTCCTTGGGAGCCCTCCCCTGTTCCATTATATAGAAGGAAATAATAAAACTAAAAAAAAATTAAAAAACAAATGAGAGTAAGTTCCTTAGCTCCTCCTAAACAGCTAGACTTTAAGGAGGCACTGAACTGAAACTGAGAACTTACTTGGAAAACCACGTGAAAACTGACAAAACCCCTAGGTAAAGCAATGAATCATTTTGTATGCTTTGTAAAGAATATATTGATATGACAATCGCTCTAAAATGTATGCACTTTAAGCAACCACTTCTAGTCTCAAAAATGTGTCCTAAAGGAAATGATTAAACAGAACAAAAATTCATGAAGATGTTCAAAACACCTTTTCTAACATTACAAAACCTTGAAAATCAACCCGAAAATCAATCCAAAGGTTCAGTATTAGTAGAAAATATTAATAAGGTACATTTATCTAGAGAAATATATTCAGCCACATTTTTAAAAAGGGTGGGAGAATGTTTGCTATAAAAGTATGTTTCAGTTACAAAGCTGCAGTACAGAAAACAAAGTATCCCGTACTGCAACTATGCAATATATACCATCAGCCATTAATAAAGACTGAAATTACAGAGGGGCTAAAAGCCTTCTTCCTTATTAATATTGCTCTTTAATGCAAGTATTAATACCTGCATAGTTTTAAATTTAAAGTGGTTTTAAAATAATGAACATAAAAGCACTTTGCCTTTTTAAAAAATCTCCATTTTGCCATACCTGAAATCCCCTGCTGTAAACTTGGCTTCAGCAAGAGAAAAAGCCGCTTCTCTCATTACTTCGCCCATCAACATTTTAGTCTGAAAATTATAAACCAAACAGCAGAATCAAAGAGGTTTTAACAAGGGAAAATCATATAGTCACCTTCCTTTAATATCGACCTCAGGTGCTGTTGATGGAACTCCAGGGAAGAGCACATCATTGCATGTATATGTGCAAAGCTTTCTTATGAAAAATGAATCTTTACTGAAGAACCCATCCGCATTTTGAATGGGACCATGCTGATCTGGTCAATTTCAGTTAACTGCAGTACAGTCAAAATCCTAAGGGTAATGATTCTAACACACATCTAGGCTATTTAAGGGAAAAACTGGGAGACTGGGTATGGAGTTACTTTACTAAATATTAAAAATGTAGAGCTACAAAGAAACAACTTGGTACTGGAAATGATGTCAATGCAATGGAGTGGAGAGTTTAGAATCAGTCCTAGGTATATATGGGGATTGAGTAAAGATACCATTGGTCAAGGTCCTATCATATACAGAGAAAGGGGGTAGGGGGAAGGGAGAGGCAGAGGAAGAAAGAAATATTAAAGATGGCATTAGAAAACACTACAAAATACTACCACAATCTTTTTAGGTTTTTCAAAGCATTATATGTAATACATAGACTATAAAATGGTCTTCTTGAAAGTGTGTCTCATAGAGGGAGGCTGAGGGGTGGGAGGTGGGGTGTGGGGGATGGTGGGAGGGAAAGGGGGACATGGGTTGTGGGAAATGTACACTGATGGAGGGATGGGTGCTGGATCATAACTGAAACCCAATTATAAACAGCTTTGTAATGGTCTATCTTACAGATATTCAATCCAAAATATAAATTTTTTTTTTTTTTTGCTTTTTGGGTCACACCCAGCGATGCACAGGGGTTACTCCTGGCTCTGCGCTCAGGAATTACCCCTGGTGGTGCTAAGAGGACCATATGGGATGCTGGGAATCAAACCCGGGTTGGCCGCGTGCAAGGCAAACGCCCTACCCGCTGTGCTATTGCTCCAGCCCCCCCCCCCCAATTTTTTTTAAATAAAAAAATAAAATGTCCTTGGGATGGGGGAGAGGGGCAAGGCATACCTGGCATGCTCTGCAGTTATTCCTGGCTCTGTACTTGGGGATTACTCCTGGCAGTGCTTGGGAACCATATGGATGTTGGGGTTCAAAACCATGTAGGCCATGTGCAAGGCAAGTCCCCTCCAGCGCTAAAACACCTCCTTTTATACATAATACTTAGAAACTATACAAAGGAAAGTTGTATAAACAAAAAAGACTAACAGATTTGACCACACAAATATTAAGTACTATCGGGAGAGGAAAGTTCCCAAGCAGTGCTTCCATATCCTGAGGGTCACTTTAGATGTTCCCAGGGTCATTTCCAGTGGCATTAGCCACCCGGGCCACAGAGTTCAATGTTAGAACCTAACACTGCAGTGCTGCTTGGGCACAATGGTGCTGGAGGCCACTGGGGCCACCAAGGCCACTATCAGGGGTGGTTGGGGGGTCACAGAATTAGACCCGGCCATGCAAGACATCAAGCATGCAAACTGGGAGTCCCGGATCCCTGAGCTATCGTCTTCCCCAGCTCTAAAATATTATTCTTTTTTCTCGCTGCTTTCTGGCCAGGACAACACTCTAATCCAGGGCCTCACACATACAACACAAGTAATCTACCACTGAACCACATGAGCCCCTACTAGTTTTGTTTCTGAGCCACACTCAGCAGGGAACTATACCCAGTGCTGGCAATCAGTTGGCCGCCTGCAAGGAAAGTCCCTTATCCACTGCACTATTTCTCTGGCTTTTTTATTTTTTCTTAAAATTTAAAATTTTCTTAAATTTTTTTTTCTTAAAGTTTTTTTTTCTTAAAATAAAATAGTCCAAGGGCTGGAGCAATAGCACAGTGGGTAGGGCATTTGCCTTGCATGTGGCTGACCCGGGTTCGATTCCCAGCATCCCATATGGTCCCCTGAGCACCGCCAGGAGTGATTCCTGAGTGCAGAGCCAGGAGTAACCCCTGTGCATCACCGGGTGTGACCCAAAGAGCAAAAATAAAATAAAATAAAATAAAATGGTCCAGGGCTAACTGGGTAGCAAAACCAACTGCCTAGAATACCTAAGGTGAAAGAGGCCAAGAGTTCACTCTATGGGATAGAAGGGGCTCTGGCATTTGGGATTCCCAGCACCATAACAAAGTGTGCAGTCCCCAACACAAGCAACCAAATGTGAGTTCTGTGACAAGCACTGCAGCCAGGTATATAAGCACCATAGCCAGTGTGTGCAACCTCTGGTCACACCATGAAAGGATTGTGAAATAAAATTTTTTATATTTTTGAAGCAAAAAGGAATTAAAAAAAAGTTAAAGAAAATATTTTGAATATTTTACACACCAATTATAACATATGAAGAAGTTCTACAAAAAATAAAAAAAGTCACCAATAAAATCAATTTGTTGTTTCATGACCATACGCAGCTGTGCTTGGGGATTATTTCTGTCAGAGAAACATATGCGGTACCAGTCAAGCTAAGGACAGACGCATGCAAGGCATGTACCTTGTCCTTTTACTCTCTCTCTAGTACGAAGAACATCAAATTTCAATAGACATGAAAACTCAAACTAACAAATAATCCAAAGTAGCCAAAATTAAATTTAGATACCAATTGTAACCCAACAGACTCTCAAACATAAGAACATTCGATCAGGCAGATTTTTTTAAAATGTTCTCTCATCATTTGGTAGTCATAAATTAGTATTAATAATTTTGGCAATTCGGCAAATATCTTTTTTAAATTAATTACATTAAAAATTTTAGTTATTTGGGGCCTGAGAGACAACACAGAGGACAGGGTGCTTGCCTAGGACATGGCCAAGCCAGATTCAATACCACCCCATATGGTGCTCCCAGCCCTGCCAAGAATTATCCTAAGTGCAAGGCCGGGAGAAGCCATGAGGCCCAAACCCTCCCATCACCACCAAAAAAAAAAAATAAAATAAAAATTTAGTTATCTAAGAACTTATTTTGGGGCAGGAAGGCAGTGTGCTTGAGGACCAGGAGGAGCTGAAGATCGAATGAGAGTGGGTTGCCAGGCACACACCTTAAACCATATCCTATCTTTCTAATGCCTAGTTATTAAAAAATAGTAAATGAATATACCCTCTAGAATATTTTCCAGAAAAATGTTTGTATAATTACACAAAAGGATTCAAAAGTCACTCCAGACCTTAAATATATATATACATATATTTAAATATCCATCAGTAAAGATACAGTTGAATGCTGTTACAGATGTAACAGAGTATCAGGACGCTATTAAAAAGAATAAGGCAGATCTGTATGTACTGACAAAGAATACTGCCCATATTCTACCACACAAGGAGGGGAGAAAATATTACTGAATTAGATATGTAAATATCCTATTAGTTTTATATGTGTATGTATATATATAAGACACTATGCTTTATACAACTATAAATGTTACCTATGTTTATCTTAATTACATGGTGAAAAACATCCATGTGTATGGCTGTATATAACCACATAGGTTATTCTTTGTACGTATTTGGAAAAGCAATACCTAAAAAGGAAAAAAAAAGGTGGGGGATCTGAGAAGGAGGGAGGCTGGGGATGTGGCTCAGCAGAACACTTGTCTTGCTTGTGTGAGGACCTGGGTTCAAGGTCAGACACTGCAGGCAAAAAAGAAAAAGGGAATAAGGAAATGGAAGGCCACAAACCAAACTGTTAATAACAACTCCTCTTGGAACTGAGGAGCCTTGGGTAGAAAGTGGAAGATAGTAAAGACCCTTCGATTTTTAAATATACTTCTATCTTAACAAAGCATTTATCCAAAAAAAAATTTACTAAAATGAACTCTACTATGCGCTGATACTGTTCCAGGCGGCAAGGAAGGGGAATACATTTTAATGGCACATTTATGTTAAAAAATTAAAATGAGCGGCCGGAGCAATAGTACAGCAAGTACGGCATCTGCCTTGCAAGCAGCCTACCCGGGTTGATTCCCAGCATCCCATACGGTCAGTCCCCCCGAGTACTGCCAGGAGTAATTCCTGAGTGCATGAGCCAGGAGTAATCTCCGTGCATTGCTAGGTGTGAGCCAAAAGGCAAAAATTAATTAAAAATTAAAATGATAAAGTACAATAAAATGTGGGCCAGAGTGATATCATAGTGGGTAGGGCGTTTGCCTTGCACGCAGCCAACCTGAGTTCAGTTCCTCTGCCTCTCTGGAGAGCCTGGCAAGCTACCGAGAGTATTCTGCCCACACAGCAAAGCCTGGCAAGCTACCCATGATGTATTTGATATACCAAAAATAGTAACAACAAGTCTCACAATGAAGACGTTACTGGTGCCCGCTCGAGCAAATCAATGAACAACGAGAGGACAGTGCTACAGTGCTACAATAAAATTTAAGGGTCATGCTGAATTTTTCTTACTAATTCTAAAGTAAATACTGTTTTAAGCAAAGTTTCTTCTACCTCTATTATCTTCTTTAGGATCTGTCGAAATCGAAGAGTTAAGGCATCAGATTTTTTCTTCAAGAGGTTTCGACCTGTCTGTGCACCTTTCAATCGAGCCTTCATGATGGTCTGTGCCCTGAAAGACAGTTAAAGATATTTATTCCAAATGTTCAAAAGAAATAAAATAGCTCTTACATAAAATTGCCCATTTTCACGCTGAGTAAGAACATAAAGCATTTGTAGCTAGTAGATATAATTAAAAATTTCACAGTGCTCTCAGAAAATTATTTATTTAAAACAAAAATTTTTAGCCTATATCTAAAGTTACAATTGAATAGAAATCCTACTTTATGATGTCAATATACTTTATTTGACTTGTAAGTGAAGTATTTGTGTTTTAGCTTACATTGGAGGTATATTACAGACTTTTAAAAAAATCTGTCCACTATCATATATATATCAAATTTTGAAATGTACTTACCTTCAAAACCAACAATCCCACTATGAAGAATTTCTCCTATAGATGTTTTCTGGCACATGTACAAAACATATACAAGATTAAGGATGAGTATTCTAGCCTTATTTGCAATAGCAAAAATATGGAAAGAAGTTAAATGTGCCATAAGTAACAATTCATTTTATAGAGGCTTGAATATAGCTATATAAAAAGGGAAAGACAGATGTACCCTTTAGATTATACTGCCTTAGTTATGTAAAGGGATAAAAGTACTAATGTATAGTGATTTACAGAAACTGTTGAGTTTCTTTTGAAAAATGGCACTAACTGAAAAGAATGATTTTACTATTACATTCTTTTGTATCATTTACATTTTTTAACGGACATACTACTTTTTCTACTAAAAGTATTTCTATCATTAATCAAGATAATCATTTTATTAATTTGAAAATAATTCTATTACGAAATTATAAATGGAAACACCCCTAAGAAGTAGCCCATCTCTTGACCTCCGTATTTCAATTTTTGTCCAACAGAAGCACCAATACTAAGGTCAAGAAAGCAACAGCAGAAAGTAACATTTCTACTTTGCTGCCATTTGCCAGATCTGTGATCTCGAGGTGATATACAATTCCATATGATTAGTGTAAAAACTACCAAATGGCACTTATTAAATGATCTTTGGCTAAATTTTTTGGTTATATTAAAAACTTTCTTTTTCTTTTTGGTTCACACCAGCGATGCTCAGGGGTTATTCCTGGCTCTGCACTCAGGAATTACTCCTGGCGGTGCTTGGGGGACCATATGGAATGCCGGGGATCGAACCCAGGTCGGCCGCGTGCAAGGCAAAAGTCCTACCGCTGTGCTATCGCTCCGGCACCCCTTTTATTATTATTATTATTAAAAACTTTTAACCACTGGAATATATAAGGTCACTAATATATAGGGCTAAAATAACAAAAATGAAATTTTAGACATTACCTTGAAAGGCAGAAAAAAAGAGGTTCAGGAGAGTAAAACAATGCTACTCTAAGAAGAAAATGCATGGCAAAAACTTGGACCAGAATTTTTTACTTATTTTTGTTTTCTTGGAGCCACACCCAATGGTGCTCAGGATCATTTCTGGTGGGACTTGAGGAAACTATATAATGTGTCAAGAATTGAAACTGGGGCCATCTTTACAGCATACAGCCGCAGAGAAGGGCCACATGGAGGGCTGGCTCCACAGCTCCCGGAGAAGGCACCAGCTTCCAAAAAGAGCCGAGATCACTGGGAAGTCCCAGATGGGGTAGGTGCCGCATCCCACCTCCCCCAGATGGAACCCCGGTGACCAGAAGCCTCCACAAGCATAGCTCGAGTATGCGGGAACTAGGACTTTTCCTCCAAACCGCCGGGACAATCCCGGCCCCCATATAACCTCTGATCCCGGAAGTCACGCCCACGGCCCGCCCCCCCCCCAGGGTGCCATCTTTGCGGCACATTGCCGTACAGAGAGAAGAAGGATCACATGGAGGGCTGGCTCTACAGCTCCCGGAGAAGAAACCAGGTTCCAAAAAGAGCCGAGATCACCGGGAAGTCCCAGATGGGGTAGGTGCCGCATCCCGCCTCCCCCAGATGGAACCCCGGTGACATCTCTGTATATACAAAGTGATCAATGGGAAGTAAATCACCCAATGTTTCTCCCTGAAAAATCAGAGTTTGGAGCACAGCCACAGCCCCAGAAGCACAAGGACTTAATGCAGAACCCAGCAGCTTGGAGCAGCCCATCATGTCTGCCCGGAGGGGAAAGGGTGTTGCCCCATTCGCCCTCTCCTCTCTGGAAAGAAGATGGCGGCCACATGGGTGCCTTGTGAAGAGCAGGTGTGAGCCGGGGGTGTGGGGGCGACTAAAACCTCATGGGAAGGGGGGCGTTCCGGTCCGTCCTTCACGCCCTACCGAGGCCACCAGTTGCCCCCCACGAGCAGCTCTCCAGCACGGCCACGACTCTAGAGCACAGAAACCAATCTCTTAATTATCTGACTCTCAGTAGAAATACTTCCAGGGTTAATTAGCAAAATAGCAGAAATCCAAAACCAACATTTAATTCTTGAACCCAGCTGTAGAAAGCGAATCACTTCACAATGCTTTCTCAGCATGTCTGATTTGGGGGGAGGGGGTAAACTTTAAATAATAGTGGTGCATCTTTTATCGAAACAATGAATCTAGTCAAAGTAGACAGAGTGTTAACTAGAATTCATCTGCCTCACAGGCACTGGGAGGGGTGGGAGGTGGGGTTTTATTGGGTTCTTCGTGGTAAAAAATAAGTAATGGTAAAGGGAAAGGTGTTTGATATTTGCATGACTGAGACCTAAAGCTGAAAGCTTTGTAACTTTTCCCACAGTGATTCAATAAATAAATAAATTATTAAAAAAAAAAAGAAAGAATTGAAACTGGGTCTTCAGTGTGCAAGGCAAGTGTCCTACCTACTTATATCATTTACTCCAGTAAATTGCCTAAGAGCATGGTATTCCAGCCATGTACCACAGTGCCTCTTCTACAGATCATACCTGCATCAGAACAGCTCTCTCTGGGAAAAACAAAAACAATAACTAGCTATTTTAAGTGGCTGACTTGGTGGCCTGTACTCACTAAGGTTTAACCAAGTGCAGCTGGTTTATGTTCCAGTCCTAAACAGGAGCTAGCCTGTTCAATGTGTGCATTTAACATACTGTATTATTGACACTAACATCAAAAATTGGACTCAATGATCTGAATGAATATAAGGCCAATCTTGTACTGCAGATTCCAGCAAGTTTCAAGTGAAAAGGGAACTAGTTTACCATGTTATTTTTTATTTTCTCCTAGGTTAAAGCACCTAGACTGTAACACCTGTGTTGTCTATAACTTTTAATTCTCAATTGAAGGCGCAGAAGAGTGACTTTGCCAATGGCTTACAACAAGAATTTAGTAGAAACTGGATTTGACTGACTTCTGTTGACTCCACATCTTTGAAGGCTCCTTTGCTCTAAACTTATTTTGCTCCTTCTTGTGCCAAAGAGGCTGAAAGTCCCAGATTTCATAGAATAACACATGAAGGAGGAACTATGTGAAAGAGAGGCTGCTACCATTATTTACAACCTCTTTAAAGAACAGTTAGAAATAAGAATTTTTTTATACTTACAATGTTGTTGATTATTGGGTTTCAGTCATATAATATTCCAACACCAGTCCCTTCACCAGTGTACAATTCTCACCAACAATGTCCCCACCCCCTCCACCTCTGTGACCCACCCACTCCTCCTTCCCTCCCTCCCTCTCTCTCCTCTCTCCCTTCCTTCCTCTCTCCCCCTCACTACCACCACTTTGAGGAATTATGGTTTGCAATACAGATACTAAAAGGTCATCAAATATACCCCTTTACCTACTTTCAACATTGTTACTTCTAAAAAGCCTTTTAACAAAAGGGGGAGGAGGCTAGATTTAGCACAAGGGGTAAGGAACTTGCCTTTACATGAGGCCAATCACAGCACTCCTGCATAAGATCATTCTTCCCAAGCACCACAATGAATGACTCTTGAGAGGAAAGCCAGGATTAAGTCTTGAGCACTGCTGAGTGTGGTCCCAAAAGCAAAATACCACTACTGATAATTAAATGAAATGGAAAAACAAACAAAAAACAGGGTCCAGGAAATGCAGGGCTCAGTGTGGTGAAAGACTTGCAGAGAATCTTGATCCCAGGCACAGAATGGTTTCCAAAGGACAGCAGGGTTTGGCCCCCCCAAAAGAAATCTTATTAGCGCTGCAGCAATAATGCAACAAATAAGGTGTTTGCTTTGCACACAGTTAACCTAGATTCAATCTCCACCACATATGGTCCCCACCACCAGCCATACCAGGAGTGATAGATCCCTGAGCTCTAAACCAGGAATAAGCCCTGAGAAGTACCTGTGTGGCCCAAAAACAACCAAAAAAAAAAAAAAAACTACTTCTATAAATTTTAGAACTGGTCAATCCTACCAAAAGTGTATGGTCTTAATGTAGAATGATACTTTGTTTCCAGTTGAAACAAAGGCATCTGACTACATGACAAAATATCCCACTGCTAGGCCTTGGAGAAAAATACTTAAGAGAAGTCACTTCCTGCATCAGATTTTCCACTTTCTTACTAAACTGAGTGCTCTCAAAAAGGAATTTTCACCCTCACAAATCTTTCTAAACCCAAATAGTCATTTTCACTGTGGTATGAAAATATATATCTAGCTATACAGCACTGTCTGTAGCACTGTCCTCCCGTTGTTCATCAATTTGTTCGGGCAGGTCCAATAATGGCTCCATCATGAGACTTGTTGTTACTGTGTTTGGCATATCGAATACGACACGGGTAGCTTGCCAGCCTTTGCCGTGTGGGCGAGATACTCTCGGTAGCTTGCCAGGCTCTCCGAGAGGGGCAGAGGAATCGAACTCAGGTTGGCCAAGTAGGCCGCGTGCAAGGCAAACGCCCTACCCGCTGTGCTATCGCTCAGCCCAGTATGAAAATAAAAACAAAAAAGTTAACATTCTGATTACTATCAAACATTAAAGCAGTGAAGAGAGATTTTATTCCACACCCACTAACAGAAGATGAACTGAGTTCGATTCCAATTAGAGCAGAGATGACTGCAAGTTTGAATAAAGAAAGGAGGAACATAAGAGTGTTCAAGTGGGGCCAAAGCAATAGTACAGCGGCAAATGCGCTTGCCTTGCAAGCAGTGGCCACCAGGGTTCAGTCCCTGGCATCCCATGTGGTCCCGGAGCACCGCCAGGAGTAATCCCTGAGCATCATCAGGTGTAATCCAAAAAGCGGAAAGAAAAAAAAAAAAAGAGAGTGCTCAAATGATAAGCAAAGTAAAAAATTACAGTGTTGGTCAGTCAGTGAGATTAGGAAAGTTTTACTTGTGAGCTGGCAACTGCTTAAGTTTGGATTCTACCCTCCTACAGAGACTAGGAGACATGCTCTTCCCTTCTCAATTACATTTCAAATAAACAATTCTCAGGTCCCTGAGAACGACAGATCTAAGAGGCAGAAAAAGCAATTATTGAAAGCCCTTTTTAGCAGACCTAAGAAAGGGAGATTAGGGGCTATAATCAGATGATGAATAAAACAGTCTCCTAGTGGGAGTGAGGGGCAGGGGTGGGGAGATAGTACACACTGGAGGACTGTACTTTGCATTCAAGAATCAATCAGGTTTGATACGCACAAGCACAGCAAGTGATGACCCCCCAGCCCCCAGCACAAAGCCCCTGAGCATCACCCAAAATACAGTAACTATTCTCCTGACAGTGCTGAGCACTCTTAAACAGACATTTGGGGGAAGGGAAGGAAGTGGGGGATGAGTGTCTCCCAGGCAGTGCTTCAGAGACCTGGGGCCCCTCACCGCTACTTCAGACCAGTCAGGCTGGTCATTCAGGGCAAGGGTCCTATTCTGCTCTTGCCCTGTGGTGCTAGGTGCACCAGGCCCTCCATTCAAGCAGACCATGTTAAAGGTGACTGGAGGCGAAGACAGAGACTTCATCAGGCAGCTAGAAATCACACCAGATCTCGGTGGTATCTCCAACAGAGATGGATCATTTAGTGCCAGCAACTCCCTTAATTCTCCCCACTGTAAGGGGAATCATGGTCCTTGTGTATTTCACCAGCTTTGTCTTTCTCCACAACTACCTTCCTTCCCTCACCTAAGTGAAGAAACAAATACAGCACCTCCATTTCGCTAAGAGCTGAAAACAGCCAGGCAGGGACCAAAACCTAAAGTTTGGCGTTTGAATCCAACTGTCTTAAGAGTCCACTGATTCTGACAAAAAGCCAGGATGAGGAAAAACAACTTGGAAGACCTCCAAAGAGAGAGGATCAGAATGAAAAAATAAGTCACTGCCAGAAACTAGTTTTTTTACTCCTTGCTGCAAATAAGAGAGCTAAACAAAAATCTTCCATTTTCCACAGGTGATTAGACACATTTGAGAAAACTTCCCCTATTTATTTATTTAGCAAACTAGTCAAACACCTTGGAGCACGACCCTACTTCTGCCAAAGAATACAGGCCAAAAAGAAAAAGGTGCTCCACAATTGATAAGATCCTAGGGCACGGTTCAATCACGGAATCTTTTCTTGTGGTTCTTCCATAGATGAATAATCAAAACACTCATACTGGAAAGACATAGTCCAGTGGGAAAGCTATGTAAGCAAAAAACCCAGTTTATCAGCTGGAGTGATGGCACAGCGGGTAGGGCACTTGCCTTGCACTCAGCCGACCGGGGTTCGATTCCCGTTACCCTATATGGTCCCTGGAGCCCGCCAGGAGTGAACTCTGAGTGCAGAGCCAGGAGTTAAGTCCTGAGCACTGCTGGGTGTGGCCTCAAACCAAAGCGCGTGAGCGCGCGCGCGCGCACACACACACACACACACGCATACACATATACACACACACACAATCATTTTACAATGTGATGGGTGATATTAATAGGGATCTAAACGAGATGCAACGGAAAGAGGGCCTCGGCACTTGATACATTCTCACAAGTGACACTTCACAGGATCTCAGAGCCTTGAGCTAAGAGATCCGAGATCGAATTCAATTTCCACTCGAAGGGGCGACTCGATCCTTCTCCAAACTGCCACCTCTGAGCTCCCTTGGAAGTAAACTGTCCCTCCTCGGAGCATTTAGTAAACCCCACGCAGCCAGTTCTGAACCGCGAGGCGTGAGCGGCGACGGCCCCGAGTTACATAAATCCAGGGGCCAGCTCATCCGGGGAGTGTGGGCCGATGCGAGGGTCGATCGGCGGGTCCCCCACGAGCCCGCGAGGGCCAGGCGCCTCGTTCACTGACGACAGTGTGCGTGTGGAGGGAACCGCGGCCTCGCTCCCGGGCCCGACCCTGAGAGCAAGGAGGTGGCGCGGGTGCAGCCGGCGTGCACCTCATCACGCCTTTTCATCGTTTACTTACATTCTCGAGGGAAAGATCTCAATTCGGTCTTTGCCCGACATTCTTACGATGGTGGTTCGGCTCGGTTCCCCGGCCGGGTAATCGCAGCTGCTACTAGCCCAGGCACCGTGTCTTCCTTTAACCAGAGTCAGCTGGTTGGGTCACTTGACCCACCCGGTTGCCTAGCGGCAGCCCGACTCAGCACAATTGACTTCCGCTTCCTGCGGGCGCACGCGGGGCGGGGGACAGGATGGGGAGGACGGAAGACGGAGAAACCCGGATGTTAAGGCGCGCACCCCTACGGGTCCGCCCCGCCCCTTTTGGGGGCTCCTCCTAGCCCCACCCTCCAGCTCCCAGAAGGCAGCGCTGCACGCTGCACACGCGGGTCGAGAGAAGCGAAGAGTCCACGTCTTCTCTTCCGCCGCCTTCAGTCACAGCGCCACCTCCCGGTTGACTGAAGCTTCAGGCAGGAGTCACTTCTCAGGGACAGCAATTCCGAGCCCCACGTCTTCCCCGCGCCTTGAGGGTTATTTAGGATTAAAAAAAAAAACAACCTAAAAAGATAAAGATCAAACGAACCTTTGTGCCTCTTCTGTTTCAAGGTCTCCCTAGTCCTCGGAGGACTTGCACTCTATGGTCGGTGGCCAAGAGCGGCCTCGAGTCTGTCGGCGCTTGCGTGCTGCGAGGCGGTGCCGCATGCGCCGTCGGGTCGAGCGAAGAGCACGCTGAGAAGACTCGGCGGTTTGGTGCGGGCGGAGCGAGTCTGGTCTTTTTCCGATTAAAGCGAGCGAAGCGGTGCCACACATATACCTCAGGTGACTCGTCGCCCAGCTCGGTTTCCCCAGGAATTGGCGTTGCCTGTGTGCCGTGACCTGGGTGGTCGTTTGTAGGCCCTGAGCGAACGCCGCCCTCTCTCTCTCCCGTCCGTGCGCGGGAAGTGCCCGGACGCCGCCGCCCGCCGCTGGGGAGCGGGCCTCCGCGCCGGCTCCGTGTCGCTCTGAAGGCGGTGTAGACGTGTCAGTGTGCCGGCGGAGGGTCTCATGGAGGGAGGGGGCGGGGTGGGACAAGGGACAAGGCTGTGCAATCACAGCCACTTCCATAAGCTTAACGTGAGGGAGGTAGGGCGGCCCGGGAGAACGCCCGCCGGACGCCGGCCTCCTTCCTGCTGGGGAATTTCGGGATCCTGCCTTCCCTCTAACCTTTTTTTTTTCCCCCCCGCCCGAGCAAATGCTTCTCGTGGAAACCGGGCGAAGACGTTTGGAGGACTTTGTGGGGTGGGCCACGGTGTTGAACAGATCTGGGCTTAAAAAAGAAAAGGTGACTATGAATAGCTTAGGTTTAGGTTTAAAAGGGTGCGAGATTAGATTAAATAATTGGTCATTGATGTCCTGAAACTGAAGCTCGTGTTAGCTTATCGCTCCATTTATGGGATTCCGTAGTACTACTGCTTGACACAGATGCACTCGGTTTGCCGTCCACACTGGTGACGATAGAATTATGGGGTCCCGCAGTGGTCTTCGAGTTATGCAGGATTCCCGCCTGGGGTCCCTTTTCTCATCCCACCCCCCCCCCCCCCACACACACACACATATTTCGGCTGCTTTAACTTTCATTAAAGAAGGAGCAGTGAGTAAATGCGTTGGCCTTGCACACGTTCGACCTGGTTTCGCTCTCCTGTATCCCATATGGTCCCCTGAGCACCGCCAGGAGTGATGCCTGGGCGCAGTCAGGACTAAGCCCTGAGCATCACCGAGTGTGGCCCCAAAGAATGGAAAGAAAAGAAAAAGAAACATTGTTTCTTGGAATTAAGGTGTGGCAGTTTTTTCTTCCGATTATAGTGTGGAAGAATCTTGCAACTCTGTCTTGTGGAAATTGGGGATTTGTTTAGAGCTTCATGCTTAGTCTCAGATTATCTCACGCCAAGTGTTACTTATTGATTCTGGAAAGGGATTGCAAAGACGACCAGTAATGTTTGTAGAATTGATGCTCCTGTTTAAACTGTAGTGGCAGAGTTTAAAAAGTTTGTATAGTCCTCCTTTACTTAAAAACTAGCATTCTTTGAGCCAAATTGTTGGGGAAAGTTGTCTCTCTCACAGTGCGTTGTAGTTGAAAATGAGAATGTGGACCTTAATAGAATATGGCAACTTTACTAGTAATGCAGTGCTTGCTTTCTTAAACCATAATTTAAGTAAGATGTCTCAGAGGCCATTTAAGCAGGAGAAATTACTGACAATGCAATTGGAAATTAGCTTGAAGGTAGTTAAAATATTTTGATATTAGATACTCTTTACAGAACTCATACCAGATAGTAATTTGGCATGTTGACATTCTGGGATAAGGTTACTTAATTGGGTGGAGAGATAGTACTGTAGTGCAGTTAGGGCAATTGCCTTCAACACAGCTGACCTGGACTGTATCCCTCAACCCCCCATGAGTGATCCCTGAGCACAGAGCCAGGAATAAAGCCTGAACACATCCAGATGTACACCCCACCTAAAAAAGGGGACAGTCTGATTACTATATTTATGTCCAAACTCTTGGAGTTTTTTTTTTCTGTATCCTCTGTCCTGTTGGTGTGTCACTGTGCTCCTTTCATAATACTTCATATTGCAATTTTCTTAGTAATTTTTGATTCTTCTCATAAGAGTAATGTATCAGTAATGCTTAGTATCTGTAGCTGCTACAAAAATAATTGTTTCAAGATAATTCACAAAATGAAAACCTAATTCCTTAGCTTTTAATGTATCATATTTGTATAGCACATTACATTTTTCAAGATGTTTTTACTGGGGATCAGGATGGTAGCTTGGTGGTCAAGGGGCACATCCACCAGGATGGAGTAGAACCCAGGCCCCCAGGGCCACTGGCACCACAGGATGACAGAGCTGTGTTGCATTCTTACCATCTACTCTGGTTAGCCACCAGGACTCCTGAGCTAAGGAGTTGCTCCTCTCTCCCCCCCGGACCCCCCAGGTCCAAAATAAAAGTTTTACTGGATGGGAGAAGAGAGCTCATAGGGCTAGAAGCCATACTTTGCATTCAGTAGCCCCAGTTTGATCATCATCAGTGATGGATGTAGCCCCCAAATTAATAACAAGATTTTTTGTTATATATTTAATCTCATTTTATAGTCCTCACGAACCTTGTGGGATAGATGACATAGTACAGTTCAGTGGGAATAGATTTCTTCGGCAGTGACATCTAGGAAGTAGAGCAAAAACTAGAATTCCCCTCTAGAGCTGGTTCCAGAATTTTCTGTGCTGTTTGCCTGACTGACTTTCTTAAGAAACCAAAAGAAAAAACAAACCAAAAAAATCTTAGTGCTTTGGAAATTAAGGGCTGAGAGATGCCTAGTTCTATGATTTCTGTTTCCCTGTTGTGGGGAAAGGGGGTGAAGCTTGGTTTGAACCTTATCTAGCTATGCTTAGGGATCACCTTAGGTGGTGCCTTGGTGGGGGGCCACATGTGATAGCAGAAACATTTCCAGGTCTGCTTTGTACCTTATGTCTGGTATTCCTGATTGATTTTTAAATAATAGTCTTAACATATGGGTATAAGCTCAAAGTGGATCAACTAATAGTTTCTTTGTGAAATGGATTCTTTTTTGTAATTGTCTACCTTCTATCTTTGCTGTGAATGACTGAACTTAATGGTATACTTTATCTATCCTCAGTATTACAGAAAGATTTGTACCTCCTAAAATTAGTAACATACCTCCCATCATGGGGTGTTTTTGCTTTTTTTTTCTATGTTCCTTAGCCAGATTAAGTCTTGCTTATTCCAAATTATTAAGTCTACTGTTTGAGGAAATTTGATTAGTAAATGTGACTAGTTCCTGTTTAAGTGTGTTAAATATGTTCTTTTACATTTCCATTACTTTCATTTTGATAGTTTGAAACTAGCTTTCAAATTGTAGTAATTAAATATACACGTATTTAATTGTAGTCTTTTAAAATAAATAAGTAAATAAAAGGTAAAGAAAAAGCCCCGTTTAAAATTAAACAACCAGGACCAGAGAGTCAATAAAGGAGGTAAGGAGCTTGCTTTGCATATAACCAACACAGATTTGGTCTGTAATGCTGCATAGGGTCCCCCCAGCCCCACCAGGAATGATCCCTGAGCTTGGGGGTGGGTGTGGCACTAAAACAAAAAATAAATACACTAAAGATCAGAGAATACTCAAAAGGGCTGAGCACATGGTTTGCATGATAGAGGCTCAGTTCCAGTACCCAGCACCACATAGTCCCTGAACACTGCTGGATGTACTCCCCCCTCCAAAAAAAAAAAAACCTAAAATGAATAAATTGTATACATATTGTGGTATGATTTCAGGCTAGTAGGTCATAGAGAATGATTTTAAATGTATTTAATGCTATAAAAGTAAGAGAAACCTGAATTTTAGAGTTTATATATATAAAGTTAATCTCCAGAACACTGGGAGTAATAAGTGAATAGAAACTAAAACTTGTGATCAAATTAAATTCAGATTTAGCTGTAGAGGGTACATTTTAATTCAGTTTAATCAAATTAATACTTTTGTATTAATAAATGGTAGGAGGGCTGGAGCAATAGAACAGTGGGTAGGGCGTTTGCCTTACACATGGCTAACCCAAGTTTGATTCCCAGCATCCCATATGGTCCCCCAAGCACCGCCAGGAGTAATTCCTGAGTGCATGAGCCAGGAGTAACCCCTGTGCATCGCCGGGTGTAAGCCAAAAAGTGTAAAATAAAATAAATGGTAGGGTATACTGGTTAGGATTTTATCTAATCAAGACATTCTTCTCTTTGTATCATAGACTCTCAAACTTATTTGGCCTAATACCCCCTTTTCAGAAGAGAAAAATCAGCACCATTTGTAAATCTACCTTGCTTAAGCCAACAACTAAAAAACCTTGCCCCCAGGATTGTTGTAGTGCCCCTATGTCACTGCTTTGTATGTGTGTTAGCATGTTTAGCCTTTAGCTTGCTTAGAAAAAATTTTTTTTTGCTGATAGGTAGATAATAATAGTGATGCTTCCCATCATTATTTTCTAAAATGGTGGTATTAAAACAGTGTTTTACTCAAGATAAACCTTTAATCTTTAGTCTCCGCGTGCTTTATAGATGGTTATTATATTTTATGATTCCTCTGAAACTAGGGGCAGAGGATTATGTAAGCCTTGCAAAAACGTAGAACAAAGTGAAAATCATCTGTTTTCTGGCACTAATTAAGTTTTAAAAGTTAAGACTAACTTGTTTCTAAGATATGATATAGAAAGCTACTTCTTTATTTTGACCTCAACTGAGAACTTGATTCTTTTGTTTTAGTTGCAGAATGCCGAGTCTAAGTTGTAGATTTTATCAACACAAATTTCCTGAAGTGGAAGATGTAGTGATGGTGAATGTAAGATCCATTGCCGAAATGGGGGCTTATGTCAGCTTGCTGGAATATAATAATATCGAAGGCATGATTCTTCTTAGTGAGTTGTCCAGAAGGCGTATTCGTTCTATAAACAAACTGATCCGAATTGGCAGAAATGAGTGTGTGGTTGTCATTAGAGTGGACAAAGAAAAAGGTAAGTGAGAAGAATGCCGGAAACGCAAGTATCTGACTTACAATAGTCTATCTGAAATATTTTATAATTGCCCAGTTTAAAAAACAAAACTTCTCTCTTTGAGGGGGAATACTGTAGATACCATACCCACTGTACTACAGCTCTGACCCCCAAAACCACCTCTTTGTATACTTACAAACTCTTTATAAGAACTGGACAATGAGAACAGTAGACGGGGCATTTGCTTTGCATGCATCCCACCCAGGTTTGATCCCCAACACTGTGAGGAGTGCTCCCTGAGCATAGCTGGGTGCGCGCACACCCCTCCCCAAAAAAAAACCTCTTTACACATATATACACACATATGTATATCAGGGAAGGATGCCACTTAATCTAGCTAAGCAAGATTTTTTTCCTATTAATATCCTTGTTTAGTTAGAATAAGCCTATCAGATATTTCAAGATTTCAAGTTTGATTCCAGACCAGTTCTGGCGTGTATAAGATTCTGTAATAGTCTTAGGACTAAATAAAACAATGTATATTTTATAATTAGGAGACTTAGAGTGAGTATAGGTAATGGGGAAAATGATGCTAGTAGACGATCAACACAGGGTTGTCATGACCTTTAATTTGGGGTTGGGAAGGGTGTGGGAGGGACAGTCAGAGAACACAGGGCTACACAGGGTTTCATTCCCCAGCACCACTGATCTCAAACAGTGCCACACCCCATGCCTTAGCTTTGAACCATCTAGCACAGTTAACCCAAGTATTGCCAAGAGTAGCCCTAGATTTTCTGGACATTGTGTGGGACATACACAAATACAAAATCTGAAGTGCAGTGAAATAAATTGTGGCTTTATATCTATCATGGTTGCCAAACTTAGAAGACATTGATGTAAACCAAAGCAGTAACTTACTCATATTTGTTCAGTGCCACCTTCTTTATTTAATAATAGTAACTAGTAATCAGACTATTGAATGAACATGATAATGAGCTAAAGATTTTAGAACTGTCTTATTTAAGCTTTGAAAGATAAATATGCTGTAGATGCATACAAAAACCTTGTGTGTCTTTCTGGAAATCAGAATGTACATGACCCTCAGATCCAGTGGGAGCTTTCCGATAGTGCTGAATAAATATTCTTTTTTTTTTTAATCCTTGGGTGCTTTACCTCTGCATTTCCTTTTATTTCCTTTTTTTCTAAATGTTCTTAAAGCAATTAAGTCAGTTTGGCTTTAACTGACTTGACATAATTAAGATACTGGCTTTTAATTATCTCACTTTAATTTATAAGCAGTTGGTTTTAGGTTAGTAGTAACATCATGCTTGAAAGGCCAATAGGTCACCGTTACTGAATTTATGTCTCTCAATCTCACTCATCTAGTTGATGCTGCTACTGGTGATTAAATTTATGTATGCTTAGCTGACAGCTTTTCTGACACAGATGATAAACTTTGTGATTATATTATCCCTACAGTAGTGGCTACTAATTGGCATATCGGTTATTCTGAATGCTTTTTGCATAACTTTCTTAAAGGTCTTACCTCAATTATTAAGCTCCAGAGACTCTACCTTAAACTTATGTCTCTATCACTGCCCCATTAAGACCTAGCATGAGGTCCAGGCTAGTGCAATAGTACAGTGGGTAGAGAATTTATCTTGCATGCAGCCAACATGTGTTCAGTCCCCGCAACCCATATGGTTTCCTGAGCATCACCAGGAGTGATCCCTGAGCATAGAGCCAGTAGTAAGCCCTGGGCACTGCCAGGTATGGCCCAGGGATGGGGGAAGGGGCACCAAGCATGATGTTTTGGCATATATTTTTTTCTGTTACACAAAATATGTATAAAAGAAGGAATTAAGTATATTCTCAGCTATGACAAGAAAGAAATGAAAGACTATACTTTCATAAGTATAATAGATAAATGTAGAAAAATATTTTCATGGAATCACTATACTGAATTGATTCAAAACGGGAAAAAAACTGTTAAAATCATGGTTAAAGGGGCTGGAGCAATAGCACAGCAGGTAGGGCGTTTGCCTTGCAAACCAGCCGACTAGGGTTCAATTCCCAGCATCCCGTATGGTACCCCGAGTACCGCCAGGAGTAATTCCTGGGTTCATGAGCCAGGAGTAACCCCTGTGCATCGCTGGGTGTGACCCAAAAAGAAAAAAGAAGAAGAAGAAACCATGGTTAAATAGGTCATGTCACATTTATGTAAGTAACTGTATTTGGACTAAGATTGGAATACAGAAATCTCTCCAGGGTAAGATGCAGAAGAAAGCAAAGTGGTCTTATAAAGGGGATCCATTTGTGAGAGTAGAGGATTTGGGCTAGTAGATGAGTCTTTCAACATAAACCCAGAACAAATGCTTCTACCATACCAAAGGCAGAAGGAGAAGATGAGAACAATTGAAAGAAAAGTATTGCTCTGGTTATTTTTACAATGTTTTGTCTTACGTCTGTAGAAAACTTCAGATAGAACAGCTTAAATCCTAGTAGAAATCTACAGTCTTAATAGCTTGAAAGCCAGAGGTGAGAGTTTTGGACAGTCACAGGAAATGAAAATACTGACATTTGGAGGACCCTGGACAGGGTGGCCTGCAAGGATCCTAAGAGTGTAAAAACCTATATAAGGAAACAGAATTTGCAGTTTTATGTAGAGGGCATTTTAGGGCTCCCAAGCAGTGCTCAGAGGGCCTAGAACTGAAAAGAATATACCATAATATGGTGATAAAAATGTATCTCTGAGAACAGTTTTATCCTGTACTACTTACATAGTATTTTGTAGATACGACTTTCGTAGGAAGTACTGTACCTGTGTCAGCCAGGCAGTCTTTTTATAAAAATTTGTTCAGTGGTTTGCTGGCACCTCGACAAATTTTTTTCAAAATTTTGTCATGCAGGATACATTGACTTGTCAAAAAGAAGAGTTTCTCCGGAGGAAGCAATAAAATGTGAAGATAAATTCACCAAATCCAAAACTGTAAGTATATATTTTTTTTGTCAGATTAGTCCAGTATTGAATATATTTAATAAATAGGGGGGGAAATGAAATATTTTTGTAACTCTGTATTGACCATTTCTAATTATATTACAAAAAAAAAATTAAAGAATATGACATGGTGGCCAGAGAGATAGTACAATAGGCAGGAGTCTTGTCTTACACACAGCTGGTGTGTAAGACACACCAGCACCCCATTTGGTCCTGTTAGCCGCATCTCCCCAGCACCCCATTTGGTCCTGCTAGCCGCGCCTTGAGTTAGCCCTGAACACCACTAGATGTTGTCCAAAAATAAAAAAGAATTGAGTAGTGCTTTGTTTTCCTCCCTCTCTTACTGTTGCTGCCATGGAGTGGGGAAGGGAAAGAGGTCCATGCCACACTTGATTATAGTGCTCATTAAATAGGGATTACACACCACACTCATTTTTGTTCTGGTGCTAGGATTCCCAGTTAGATTGTTATTGGCTCAAAGGGTGGTGCCAAAAATAAACTGCAAGGCAGTACAAGTACTCTCCCACCAAGCCCTTAGAGAGGTTACCTCTCATGGTGCTAAAGCATTGCTTATGAGTTTATATTGTCAGTATATAGTCAAGTCAGTATTGACTATTAGTGTCTAAACTAGTTAATGTTAAAGTAACAGTGGGTCATTTTCGTTTCTTGGCATGCCGTGTTGTTCTTCATGGAGTGGGAATAGAGCACTCTGTGCCTGGGATAAACCCAAGCCACCTTTTTACATGAAAGCCATGTGCCTGGCCACATGAATCACATCCCTTGCACCCTCTTTGTAGTTCTCCCTTTTTTCAGGGGTGGGGGCAGGTCTCCCAAGCTGCACTCTGGAGGCCCTGGTGCCAGCCTTCTGGCCATTGTCAGCCAGCTAGGCCTGCAGTTTGGTTGAGGACCCAGGATGTCATGCTGCTTGGGTCCTGCTATTCCTGGGAATTACTTAGATCACCCTGGTGTTGCTTGAGGGTCTCCAGCGCTACAACCAGCAATGATTAGAGAGAGGACCATGTTGCTCCGAGGATTAAACTTGGGTCGGTGGCATGCTAGTGCATATTCCTTAACCTCCATACTTTACTCTCTGTCTCATTTTATGTTTTTTTTTTTTATTTATTTTGTAATGAATCACCATGAGATACAGTTAAAAAGCTTTTGTGTTTCTGTCCTCGATATAAAATGCCAAGAAAACCAATGTTTAAATGAAAAGATTTTTTAAATCTTATATGACTCTATTAAAAGAATAAATTTATGAGAGCATTAGATATTACTCATCTCTACTGATGTGTCTGTTTTATTTGAAAGTGTCCTAACTAAAATCTTGGGGACGGGGGCATACCTGTCATTGATCATGCTTACTCCTGGCTCTTCCCTAGGGAATCACTCCTGATGGTGCTCAGAATTATCTGGGGTGCCAGGGATAGAACTATGTCCACTGTGTGCAAGACAAGTACCTTACACACTGAACTGTCTCGCCAGACTCCTAAAAACCTCTTTCCAATTAACACTAGGACCTTCAGACTGTAGTCTCTGGATCAACAACATTGATAACAACTGACTGCTTATTAGAATGCAGGATCTGAAGTCCCACTAACGTTGAGAATACAACTCTGAAAAGTGCTGCTCAGACCAGAAAGATAATACAAAGGTTAATGCATTTGTCTTGAATGTGGCTCTGTCGACCACAACCCTGGTTTGAATCCCAGCACCTTATATGGTCCCCGAGCCCCACCAGGGATGATCCCTGAACATAACCATAAGTAGCCTATCTGGGATGCCATAGATCAAACCCAGATGTGCAAGGCACTTACCTTACCCACTGTAAAAAAAAAAAAAAAGTCTTAAGTTTACTTTATTCTCCAATAGAGTGATAGTAACTTACATTTTTGTAATAAGGTTTGTGTATAATTTAAAACATGCATATATGTTTGTAAGAGCTCTGCAGTAAGGTGAGATACTCATATCCCATTTCTAGATGAGGAAGCAAAGGTTAATTTTTTGAAGTCAGTATGTGACCTGGGTCTTAAAACACTAAATTTTTTTTTTTTTTTTTTTGCTTTTTGGGTTATGCCCAGCAGTGCTCAGTGACTACTTCTGCTCTTCATTCAGAAATTACTCCTGGCAGTGCTCGAGGGACCATATGAGATTCCGGGGATTGAACCCGGGTGAGCCGCGTACAAGGCCCTACCCGCTGTACTATCATCCCAACACCAAATACAAAATTCTGTACCGTCTGCTTGTTTTGTCCATTTGACTTAATTAGCCTAGGAAAGCAGTTGTTCCTCGGTGTAGGGATGTTTTGTTGTGTGGAATTGGAGTCAGTTTAAAAGATAGGCTTTTGTATATGCTGTCTTCTACTATATGAACATACTTAATTTTTAAAAGAGAACTCTTGCCTTTGAATTATTGAGCTTTTCTTTGTGTTTATAGGTGTATAGCATTCTTCGTCATGTTGCTGAGGTGTTAGAATACACCAAGGATGAGCAGCTGGAAAGCCTGTTCCAGAGAACTGCCTGGGTCTTTGATGACAAGTACAAGAGACCTGGATATGGTGCCTATGATGCATTTAAGCACGCAGTCTCGTAAGAAGCTTTCTTTCTTCCTTGATAATCACAGATGTTGGGTTTAACACACAAATTGGGAACTTGACTTTAATAGCACAACATCCATATACTAAGCCCTTGACAAATTTATTTGCAGTGTCAGTTTAAGATTGGGTCTTCTGCACTCAGGACACACATTTACTATTGAACCACATCCCTGACCCGTATGGATTATAAACTTAAATATTTCTGTGTGAAAGGCCTGCAAGGGGTCAGGAAATAACCTGTTCAACAACCTGTTAATATACTTTGTATGCTGAAGCCCCAGAGTTGATGATTTGCACTACCTGGTCCCTAAGCATTGTACCAGAATAGCCCCTGTGCACTGTCAGAACCAGAAAAACAGGCATGTGTGTGTGTGTGTGTGTAATGTAATGTAGCGTGGCCTGTATAATTTTGTGTACAGTTTCACAAGCCATGTAGGTCATCTCATACTACTACTTAACATTTGTCTTCTAGTTATTGCCCTAGGTAACTTCAGGATCAGTGTAGATGTCTCATCTAAAACTGGAACCTCTTGTTTCCTTTACCATGAGTCTTGGTATTACCTTCAGAACCTTTAATTCACATCTGTTCTTTTGGCACAGCCTTCTGCTTTCTAAATCTGTGTAGTTACTTGTCTTCTTTTCAGGCTCTCATTCTAAACCATTTTTCCTCTCCCTTCCTTCACTTACTCTTTCTTACCTTTCTTTGATTCTGCATAGACAATGATCAATCATTTCTATAACTTTCTTTCCTATATGATCTTTTGCCCTGTTTTTCCTTCTGTTAACACACATCTTTGGATCAGGGTTCCTTTTCTGCACTTGAAGACTGCTGGGTGTTTATAAGACATACCTGCCATGCATAGTCATGGTCTGCAACATCATCTGGTCCCGCTCTGCTGCTCTCTATGATCAGTTCTTCCTCCCATTTTTACAGTGGTTGTTTCTAGAACTTCACTATACTTCCTCAGAGACCCACTCCATTTTCTTTCTTTCACCCAACCATTTGTAAAGAGAAGCTATTGCATAAGATCTCATTCCACTGTCAGCAAATTTTTCTCCATTTCATCTTATTCACTTGATCATTTAACTTCCCGTTAATCGTCGATTTGCTCGAGCGGGCGCCAGTAACATCTCCATTTGTCCCTGTCGCATGCTAGTGTAGCCCAATGGTGTCTGTTCGCTCTAGGAACATGAAGAGCCTCAAACCGATTGTTCATGATCTTGACGAAGAAGTCTGACCATCTGGTAGGTGGGCGGCCACGCAGTCTTTTGACATCCCGTGGAATCCAGTCGGTAACAGCTCTAGTCCAGCGGTCGTCTTTAAATCTCATTACATGACCAGCCCATCTGATTTTTGACACCTTGGCAAACGAGACAGCATCCCTGATTCTTGATCATCGACGGATGTCGGAACTCCGGATTCTTTCTCTCATTTGAGTGAAACGTGATATTCCAAGCATAGCTCTTTCAGTTCCTCTTTGGGAGACCTGAATAGCGTTCTCATCCTGTTTGCGTAGGGCCCAGGTCTCTGAGGCATATGTTAATGCAGGAAGAACAGTGGAATCAAAGAGATGTGCCCGGAGCCGGAGGTTCTTCGTGCTCTTAGCTATTTCTTCGACGCTCTTGAAGGCGTTCCAAGCTGCTCTCTTCCTCCTGCGCAGCTCGGGTGCCAGGTCATTTGTCATGTTGACTTCCCGACCTGGGTACACATAGCTGTTGCATTCGGAGATGGTCGTTCCGTTGAGAGCGAATGGGGCATCAGGAACGAGGCTGTTTCTCATAAACATTGTCTTCGTAAGATTCAGCTGTAGTCCAACCTTTCCACACGGTCAAAGTCGGCGAGCATTTGTGCCGTTTGGCTGATGTTTGGTGTTATTAAAACAATGTCATCAGCAAAGCGGAGGTGGTATAGTTGCCGACTATCTATCTTTACTCCCATTCCTTCCCATTCCAGTCGTCGCATGATGTTCTCAGGGGTGGCACTGAAGAGTTTCGGTGAAATGGTATCACCCTGCCGAACCCCTCTCTTGACATCGATGATTACTTCTTTGTAGAATGGTGAGATCCTGGTAGTGAATCCACAATACAGCTCACGGAGATCTTGATGTATTGAGCTTGAATGCCCTGATTGGCTAGGCTTCAATGACCGCTTCCGTCTCAACAGAATCAAAGGCCTTCTTTCTAAATCAATGAACATTAGAGCGGCATCTTGAACTCCCGAGAAACCTCAGTGAGCTTGGTTATCGTGTGGATATGGTCGATGGTGCTGAATCCTTTGCGGAAATCCAAAATCCGACACGCCATTTCATCAGTAAAGAAACGAACAGCACCTGGCCCAGACAAGGTCAGACCTGAACACTGAAGAACCTGCCGTCGGTACTCATCAATACACTGGCTCGGCTCTTCACACGCTACCTGTCTGAATGCAAGGTTCCATCCCAGTGGAAAACCAGCAGGACCGTACTACTGTTCAAGAAGGGAGACATCCATGACATTGGCAACTATCGCCCGATCTGCCTATTGTCTGTCATCTACAAGTTGTTCACTCGAGGCATCCTAAATAGGATTGGCAGAACACTAGATGAAGGACAACCATGCGAGCAAGCCAGGTTCCGCAAAGGATTCATCTTATTACTTCGTGTATTTATGTCACACAGAATATGCGTACTTCTTCAAACTAATCTTAGCACCTGTGTCCAGCTATTGCTCAGGGATCTAATTCTTCCATTCCTTTTTCTCTTTTTAGTCTCTGAACTAATAGATGTATATCCACTTAATGTTAATTTCTAAATATTTTATTGTACGAACATACTTTATTGGTTTTACAATTAAGAGAAGTTTAGGTTTAGATTCCCCTCCACCCTTTTCTTTTGCCATACAATGGCCAAGCAATGCCATGATGTGTATCCCATTAGTATATCTCTGTAACACATAAGGGAATTATTGAATTAGAGCCAGGAAGAGGGGGTGGTTTGGGGCAAGCCAATGTGTTGTAGTGCCAGGGATCTAACGCAGAGTTCCTGCATGTAAAGCAAGTGTTCCAGCCCTTTAAGCTATGAACTAGAGAACTACTTACTCTTATGAACTAGAGAGTAAGCCCTTGAAGCAGACTATTGTATAGAAATGATTATGGTGGTTATCAACAATACTGAGACATTTAAAACTGCTTTACCAGATCTCCAATCAGGCGCTGTTATCTATTTATTATTCCTTAGGTGCTTTAGTGACATTCTCTCAATACCACAATCCTGGGAAATACAGTTTCGATCTTTATTTTACACACTTGGAAACAGGCCTGAAAGAACCTAATTACATTTAAGTACACAGTCTTAACTCTAATTCTGTACTCTGAAACATTCTCTGTGGTATTGTATTTTGGATTAAAATTGTCAGTAAAATAATACGTGCCCTTTTTTTTTATCAGAGACCCATCTATTTTGGATAGTTTAGATTTGAATGAAGATGAACGGGAAGTACTCATTAACAATATTAATAGGCGTTTGACCCCACAGGCTGTCAAAATTCGAGCAGGTAAATGATTTTTTTTATTTGCAATAGTTTTCTATCCCAAAAAAAGCTTTCAAATAAGCCTTATTAAAGAATAATGCTATATTAAAATCTGAAATTATCTTTATTTTTTCAAACATTTTTCTAATACCGAATCATAAAATCTCTATTGACACAGTTTAATGATTGTCATGAATTTAGGTGATCTTACCCCATTTCTGAAATGGGGAAATTTATTTTAGCACATTCTTTAAAATATTCTTTTTTTTCTTCTTTAAAATATTTTTAATATTCTCCCATGCCTCTGGATTAACTTCACTAATAGTTTAGAATACATTCTTTTCTGATATTTTTCCTGTACACATATGTTATATAGGGACCGTGTTATTTATATTTAGATACTTATTTTTGTTTTTGCAAAGATAAAATCATATTTTGAAAATTTTCTTGTTAGCTTTTTCCCCTTGGTGTTTCATTGCTACCCTTTCGTGTAAAATGGATTGACTTTTTTTTTTTTGGTTACGTTCTGTTCCATAAATTGATAAACTGGTTCTCTCTTGAAGAATATTTAGGATTGTGCCAGTTTGTTTTGTTTTGGTGCCAGAGTTTGAACCCATGGTTTCACAATCCAAGGCATATGCTTTACCAATGAGTTACATCCCTGGCCTTGATTGTACCAGTTTCTTGAGTATTTTAGGGGACAACAAAATTTAATATTCTTGTTTGCACGCAGCACTTATTTATACAAAATTCTGTAAGATAGATTCCTTATGAGAACTGCTGGGTCAGAGGTTTAGGATTAGAGGGTATACACTTCTTAAACTGTACTAAATAATATGCTGTTATTGTTCCATTTATTCAGTCTTGATACCCTTTCATTAGAAACAGGTATATAGAAAGGTTGAAATCATAATTTTAATGCAGGGTTTGATGTGCATTATAATTTTATCACATGATATGGTATTTAACTATGAAAGTAGCTGGAATTGATTGGAATTGATTTCTAAGTAAAGGAACAGTGATACTTTAATACTTGAATACTAATAGAGCTCTCATATCCGTTTTTGTTTTTGTTGAAGCAAGATAGTTTTTAGTTTGCATTTAAACTTCTGTAAAAAGATACTTGGTTTTCAGTTTTTATAATTTTTACGGTTTTCAATTTTATTTTTAGATATTGAAGTGGCTTGTTATGGTTATGAAGGCATTGATGCCGTAAAAGAAGCCCTGAGGGCAGGTTTGAATTGTTCTACAGAAACCATGCCTATCAAGGTGAGTAGTCAGTTTTCTCCCTACTGAAATATCCACCGCAACCAAATCAAGTTTCTTTTATGGCTCTGTTTTATAGCAACGCATGAAGTTAACCTTGTTGATATTTCTAGGGGTATTTATAATTGTACTGAGGGTTCTTGTTATAGCTTCTGCTACCATCACAGTGTATAGGGATTTCTATTGGTATTTAGTCCCAGGGGCTGGAGCGATAGCACAGCAGGTAGGGCGTTTGCCTTGCACGCGACCAACCCGGCCAACCCAGATTCAATTCCTCCACCCCTCATGGCAAAGCTTGGCAAGCTCCCCGTGGCATATTCAATATGCCAAACACAGTAACAAGGCTCACAGTGGAGATGTTACTGGGCCCACTCGAGCAAATCGATGAACAAACGAGAGGACAGTGCTATTTAGTGCCAGAGTGCTAAGTAATTCTAAACCTCCTTCCAGTAAAACATTACTATAAAAAGTGCTCAAAAGCTTGGAAATATCAACAGCGTGACTTCTCATTCACACACATTGGGAGGTCTTCTCTGCCTTTTATTAGTGATAAAAATTTACTGAATGGTTGTTTTTCATACTCCTGAAAGAATTTGTTCTATCAGTTTAGAGCCAAATTGTTTTTTTAATTTTCATCCACTATTCTGATGATGGGCTGGAGCAATAACACAGCAGGTAGGACGTTTGCCTTGCACACAGCCGACCCAGGTTTGATTCCTCCATCCCTCTCGGAGAGCCCAGCAAACTATCGAGAGTATTTCACCTGCACAGCAGAGCCTGGCAAGCTCCCTGTGGTGTATTTGATATGCCAAAAACAGTAACATCAAGTCTCACAATTTGTTGTGAGATATTACTGGTGCCTGCTCAAGCAAATCGATGAGCAACAAGAGATCAGTGCTACAGTGATTCTGATGATGCCTGGTATTTAGTCAACAGAGATGACAACTAGAGTCATAACTCTTCATATTCAATATTGTAGTGCATTTGAATACTGGATTACATCAATAAGCTACCCCAAGGACTGGGAATGTGACAAGGCATGTGCTTTGTAAATGTGAGACCCTAAGTTTGGTCCCTGGTACTGCCAAAGATAATTCACCCCAAATTGCAGACTTGATAATTGGGAGTTAAATTTTGGAATGGCTTGCTACACTGATACAAGACGATTCTCAAAGTATCTATTTTTCAGTAGGTACTTTTCATAAGAGAAATTTTGTATTTATTCCCTAGATTAACCTAATAGCTCCTCCTCGGTATGTGATGACTACAACAACTCTGGAGAGAACAGAAGGCCTTTCTGTTCTCAATCAAGCTATGGCTGTTATCAAAGAAAAGATTGAGGAGAAGAGGGGTGTTTTCAACGTTCAAATGGAGGTGAGATTAATATAAATTTTGTCTTGTTCTAAATTTTTTAGGCAATTCATATTATCTAGGGCCAAGGGCTAGAACAACTGTCTAACATGCAGTGGGCCAGGGTTCTATAACCTGGCACTAGGGAGCCCCCTCCCTCCCCACCCAAAGGGGGCAAAAATTTAAGTCCTCTTAAGCAGCTATTCCCAAACTCTTATGGTATATTGCCCCCTTCACAGAAAAATAAATTACTCAGTGTTTCCCTGTAAATCTACTTTCTTTGAACAAACAAAAGGCCCTTCTCAGTTGTACCATGAATTGTTCATTGCTCTCCAGTAGGAGGAGTATTGCCCACTTTGGAAAAACACCAGTCTAAGTGATTACATGTAAAATACAGAACCATTGCTTTTTAAGATGAGACACACATTTAGGGAATAAAAGGAATTTTAAAAAATCTAGGGAATAAAGACACACATTATAACTGCTAAACATAAAACAACTATTGGCTCAGTGTACCTATAAAGCCCTTTGTATTTGGTTGGTTTGGGTTTGGGGCCATATACAGCAGTGCTCGGGATTATGAACTGCCAGATAATAAAGAACTGTTAAGAGATAGTTACTTGGGACTGGTAATTATTGGTGTTAGGTTCCCTGCTCTCCACCCCCAGAAAAAAGAACAGACAGTGAAAATGAGTTATTCATTGTTTGTTGAATTCAATGTGAAATACCTAAAATTTGATTTCAAGTTCTAGAAAAGAGTTGTCTTCTGTGGGGTGTTTTTTCAATCATAATAGAGACAAATCATTATACACACACACACACACACACACACACACACACACACACACATATATCCATAATACCTTCTGTGAAAGAATGTGTATTTGAAAACCATTGTCACTGAAATTATTTTCAGATATTTTTAGTTTTAGCTTTAACAAAGTAGTCCATAGCACACAATCCTTTTTCCTGTATTTTTAGTTCTCTAGGCTGGAGTGATAGCACAGCGGGTAGGGCGTTCGCCTTACAAGTGGCCAACATGGCCGACCCGAGTTCGATTCCTCCGCCCCTCTCGGAGAGCCCGGCAAGCTACCGAGAGTATTCGATATGCCAGACACAGTAACAACAAAGTCTCCAATGGAGACGTTACTGGGCCCGCTCGAGCAAATCGACGATTAACGGGAGGGCCTTTACCTTTTTAGTTCTCAGAAATTCATTTCTTGTAAATAATATTTAGTGTAATGATGTCAAAACAGAAGTGAACAGGAATGGAAAAATTGCTAGAAAAGTGCTGTAAGGCAGTAATAGTATTGAAATTGTATTTGTAAACCTTTTACTTACTTTGAAATTAAATTTCCACTTCTGCAGCCCAAGGTGGTCACAGATACAGATGAAACTGAACTTGCAAGGCAGCTGGAGAGGCTTGAGAGAGAAAATGCAGAGGTGGATGGAGATGATGATGCTGAAGAAATGGAAGCCAAAGCTGAAGACTAACTTTGTGGGAAACAGACCAGTTTAAGGAACACAAACAGCCCTTCCTGGCTGTCAACTCTAGACTTAAAAGTTTTCCAGTATTGAAAACTTCAAAACTAAATATGTTTTATTTCCAAGTATTTAAATGTCTCAAACCAAAACATAAATGGCCTCCTAAATGCCAGCTGTTTTTACATAATAGCTTCAGCATATCGAGCATTTTTAATGGAGAGGCCTAATTTAACTAGAGAAAGCTAAGAATAGTCATAAAATTGGGTTTGTGATTCCATTTCTGATGTGTCCAGATTGACACTCCTTTGTTGTTTAGTGCCTCGATGAAATTTCCAGGGGTACTCAAAGCAAATGGTCCCAACCGTTCTATATATAAAATGTATCAAGCAACCATTAAATAAATTTCTGGGATATTTAACTATAGGCTTCTTCCTTCTTGTCACCAGTTATAATATGCATTATGAATATTCTAATTATTTTCATTGTAGTCTGATCTTAGAAATATGTGGTCAGGTGACAAAAAGATCTATACAACAGATCCTTTCAAAAGGAAAGTGAAAGTCAACTCAGGAGAGGAAAGCCTTATGATACAATTAAAGATTACATTAGTTGTGTGCCTTTTACCTGTTTGAGATTGACAGCATGAAGTCTGAGGGAAAATACATCACACTGGTCCTTGTTGGTAAACTAAGCTGCTTGCCTTGAGTTTTTAATTCAAGTTGGTAAAAGTTTGTTGTTTGTGGAGGAGATTCTGAGTGCATATGTAAGATGCTGCTTTAATTTAGTTATTTTGATTATCACCCAACTTACAATTTTTTATTGTGATATTCATGAGGTGCCACCTGAGAGCTTCAGCTCTTTATAATGAAATAGAGATCTATTTGAAAACTATTACAACAATTTTTCTACAATTCCATCATTTTTATCTTTAAGAACTATTTTTAGAGGTAGATAAATTTAAGGTAAATAAATTTCAAAGAAACATAATTTGAAGTGCAGCTGCAAGAGTAGTAATTGTGTAGAAAGTCAGTTTGGTCTGCTTTATATTAATCTGTAGGATACTTAAGATACTAGATATATTTTACCCATTATTCCTAAGAATATCTATTTTAATTCCTTAGGCGATTAAACCTAACTCATCACCCTGGTTAATCCAGAACTAGATTTCACATGTTAAAGAGTCTAGAAAATAGAAATGTGTTGGTGAGAGTTTGTACCATTTATGAAAATTGTCTCCTTTGACAATTTAGCAGTCCTACTTTTTTTTTTTTTAATCCAGAGATTTATATGGGCATTTCCACAAGGACCTTTGATTGCTAGTAGCATTCCATACTGGGAATATTTAGAAAATCTTGGCTGTTCTCAAAATTAGCACATATTTTTTGCTGATCTTTATGAGGAATCAAAACCTTTAATAAAGCTTTAATATAAGCAATATAGATTAAATAATGTTAGCAAAATACAATTGCTCCTTAAATCTATAGGCAAGAGAACTGAATTTTTGTTTCATGACACTTGAAAAGTCATTACTATTAAAATACTGGTGGCCTGCAGTGAAGATTTTTATCTCATGAAGTCTTTGCTTAGTCCCCAACAGTTTTGGAAATACTAACACATAACAGAAAAAGATCAGTTTTTCCCTGACAACCTGAAGGAGAGATAATGACATATATGCCCTGTGACCCAAAAGTACCACTTCCTGACAAGAGGATAAGATCCACACCGGGCTTCTCAAGTTTACCCCAAAACCTGTCTCTGCCCCCCTCATAACCTTTCATTAAAAATTAACGATTTCTTCTACTTCCCATTCTGACTTTGAGGTCAACTCATGTAACCCACATAACAAAATTAGCTATAGTTTATGTGTAAGCTAACTGAAAATGACCAGGAGAAAATAAGACTTCATTTTTCATAGGTTTTACAGCAAAGTAAGACAAACCAGTATGTAGATAATAAACATTTAGTGTGGGGACATACTAAGCAGTATAATAGGCATTACTTATCTTCCATACTTTTCAGACATTCTTAGCTACTTTCATATCAAGAACTATTTAAATGGTTCTAGATTCTACCATCACCTATATGCCTTACTCCATGCCAGGGACTGAACTCAGCCTCCCATGCAAGGTGTGTGCCCTACCAGAGTCAAATCCCAAACCCCTGGTTAAAGATTTTTTAAAATTGAAGTGGCACTACTTTGGCAAGAGTTGTTCCCTGATGTACCTACAAACTGCTATTTTAAACACATGAAGAATCTGCTGTCCTACATAGTGGAATGCAGTGCCAATTCGGAGTAAGGAAACCCATCAAATGGCAATTTAATGCAGATAAATACCTGTTGATACTCAAAAATAATAAAGAATCTAATTCCAGGGACATTAGACCTTGGTGGAATGCCAAATGGAAAACAGTACTTTGAAAGGCAGTCTCTTACAATGTAAGGAATTAAATAAAACTCCATTAGCTTGGAATTCCTGGTCAGTCAGGTACTTTAGATAAGATTAAGAGACCAGACTCTTTAAGAGTACAAATTTTTACTTAAGCACTTTGGAAGTATCTACTCCCCTTAAATGTTATATCTATTCATTAACAGAAGTCTAAGTTGTACTTGGCAAGAATGATGGCCAGATTACTGTATAAACTTGAAAGAATAAAAGTGTTTTTTAAAATACTGCATGATACAGACTTTTCACTACTTAACTACTAGATTAACCTAACTAGTGAAACTTCTTGGTACTTACATGTCTCAGTTGAAGTTTTTTGATGGGGGGGACACACACCTATGTTTAGGCTACTTCCTATCTGAGTGTTCAGCGTGGGGGCCCTGCAGCTCCACATTGCAGGAGACCATGTGATGCCAGAGAGTAAACCTTGCTTGCAAAGCTTGAGCTCCAGCCCATTGATCTCTGCCCTTCATGTTCTTTGTTTCATTTTGGGGGGGCCACACTCGATAGTGCTTACAGCTTAGTACTGACTCTGTACTCAGGAATTACTCCTGGCTGGGCTCAGGGGATCATATATGGTGCCAGGGACCAAACCCATGCCAGCTACATGCAAAGCAAGTGCTATGCTGGCTCTGCTATTGCTTCAGGCCCAGTTCATCTTAAAACCAATTTTTTACACCTCTATTTGATTTCCATTTACGTCTGTCTTTTTGAGAGACTTCCCATTCTGCATCTCTAAATGCCATTTTTCATAGAAAGTATAATTTTACCATTTTGTGTGACCAATCTCCATCTGTCTCCATGTTTTCTGCAATGTATATTTGTGCTGGCCCATTTTTCAAAACAAAACCATATTTTCTGTTTGATCAAAATTTTGCCACCATCTCAAGTTTAAGATTAGGATACTTAGTGATTTAAGACATGTTCAGTGATAGGTCACCCAAGATGTTTTCATAATCAGTTTGCATAGTAATTCATACAGCCTCAAGTAAAACCACAAGAATTTTAATAGACGATGTCAATTTTTTATCCCAAAACAAGTAGAGTTATTGACAGCATTCAGACTGCCATGTGACCAAAGTTCTATTAATATTATAGCATAATCAGCTAATATTAAAACAAGAGAAACCTACTTTGGTACTTGAGGACTAGTTGATCGTGAAGATGGGCAAAAGTCTGATGCCTCTGCCTAATGGCTCTTCTAGCACTTCTGGGTTAACGTAAAGGTGGGGGGAGGAAACAGCCATAACCACGGCCAACTGCAATCCTAGCAACTCCACCAATCTTGAGTCGAAGACAGTACAATATATTTGAAGAAACGAAGTCAGACTCATTGTCCAGAAAATCCTGTCTGTCATCTGGTACAAAGCAGGATCCTGCTCCTGTTTCCTTACGTCTTGTCATGTTAGCTTTTTGATAGCTTCAATCCATTCAACTCTTTCAGCCTTGCTGCTGGCCTGGATATAATAATGTGTATCATCCTTAGTAATCACTTTGAAGAGATTTCCCTGGACATTTCCTTTAACCCCTAGGCAGAAAAAAGTTAGTGAATATTCATGTCCATTTTTAGCTGGAAGAAGCTGAAAGTCGCTGAGACACAAAAGAACATTAAGTCTTTCCTAAATACAAATGTGTATCATTTAGGAATCCCACCGATGTTTGTTATTCTTTTCCTTCCATTCCCTCTCCCTGATCTGTGCCATAGAGCAAATCTGTGGTATGTCTGCATATGTTTTGAAAGCCTTCTTGGCCAGTCCACATGATAAACAGAAACCTTTTACTTAGGTAAAAGCAGGTACAGATTTTGGATTCGACTTTAAATTATTTAAACATTTAAATTTTTTAATCCAAATTTCACTTCCTTAAAATAATAATACTAACTACTTTAGCTGGCTATTATTAAATTAGTGTGATAGTAGGAGTGTGTCACTAACCTTTACATGCAGTATAAGATAGTATTAAATAGTGAAAACTTATGGGTTACTTAGGACAAACAGGGAAAAGAATATTAAGGATTTAGTTGTACCAAATCCTCGGACCACTACACATACTAATTCTGAAGTCAGTTTCAAAACTATTTGTCCTCCTGATATAGCCCTCCTCATCTCCCACACCCCAGCCCTTCATCAGCAGAGCACTGCAGAGAGAGCAGGAGGTAAGCCCAAGATCTTCAGGTCAGGACTGAAGGGCCCCTTACCAGTGGGTACACCATTATCCTCCAGGGCAGACACAAGAGAACCTCGAAGACAAAAACCCCCTACCGGCCGGTTCTCCTCCTACAGAGAAAGAAGACTTGATTAGTAGAAGCTAAGCTAAACCACCTCCCTTCAGAAGCAGTCATTGAGGGTCTGTGCAATTATATGTTCAATTCAGAGGAGGCTGAACTCGGGCATCACAAGCTATTGCTTATCCGCACCAATTGGAAAGTTCGAGTTTCATGTCACAGGTGGCAGCAATAGCAACCCTCAGCCTTCCCTGGGATCTTTCCAGCTCCCAGGGGCCTCTTCTACACTCTGGGCTATGGAGGGGCGATCTCAGTGGGAGCTCAGCAAGGGAAGAACTGCTGAATGGCCACTGTTTCAAAAGCCATCTTGCATAAAGGACCAAACATGATAACCTCTCAGTGTCTGTATTGCAAACCACTGTCCACTATCCACTGTCCTCCCATTGTTCATTGATTTGCACAAGCGGGTCCAGTAACGTCTCCATTGTGAGACTTGTTACTATTTTTGGCATATCTAATATGTCACAGGGAGCTTGCCAGGCTTTGCCCTGCGGGCGGGATACTCTCGGTAGCTTGCCGGGCTCTCTGAGAGGGGTGGAGGAATCAAACCCGGGTCACCTGTGTGCAAGGCAAATGCCCTCCCCACTGTGCTATCACTCCAGCCTATTGCAAACCATAATGCCCAAAAGTAGAGAGAGAATATGGGGAATATTGTCTACCATGGAGGAAGGGGGAGGGTGGGAAAGGGGG